AATAAACAGAGAAGTAGGGTGTAATTAATCATATATCGAAATAGTGATGAAACAAGGGGTTCGATAAAATATGGGAGTATTGGGAGTGTTACATCCGGTCGGTGGCAGGAACAAAAACAAAGACAACAACAACAAAAAAAAAAAGAAAAAAATACCACCCAAGAGCGATATAAGTGCTTACCTGTAAATTAAACCACCCCTCCCTACCCTGCCTTACTCCTCCCTACCTTGCGCCACCCTTCCTTGCACCACCCTACCTTGCACCACTCCTACCTACCCATCACAACCCTCACTACCCAACACCACCCCTCCCTACCCTGCCTTACTCCTCCCTACCTTGCGCCACCCTTCCTTGCACCACCCTATCTTGCATCACTCCTACCTACCCATCACAACCCCTCACTACCCAACACCACCCCTCCCTACCCTGCCTTACTCCTCCCTACCTTGCACCGCCCTTCCTTGCACCACACCTTACCTTGCACCACTCCTACCTACCCATCACAAATTCCCTCACTACTCAACACCACCCTCCCTACCCTGCCTTACTCCTCCCCTACCTTGCGCCACCCTTCCTTGCCCCACCCTACCTTGCACCACCCTACCTACCCATCACAACCCTCACTACCCAACACCACCCCTCCCTACCCTGCCTTACTCCTCCCTACCTTGCACCGCCCTTCCTTGCACCACCCTACCTTGCACCACTCCTACCTACCCATCACAACCCTCACTACCCAACACCACCCCTCCCTACCCTGCCTTACTCCTCCCTTCCTTGCGCCACCCTTCCTTGCACCACCCTACCTTACACCACTCCTACCTACCCAGCACCACCCCTCACTACCCAACAACACCCTCACTACTCTGCACCACCCCTCCCGACCCTGGACATCCCCCCAAACCCTGCACCATCCCTCTCTACCACCACCATCCCTCCCTTGCTTCCACCACCCTACCTTCCCAGCACCACTCCTGCCTACCCTGCCCCACCCCTCCAAACCCTGGACATCCCCCCAAAACCCTGTACCATCCCTCTCTACCACCACCATCCCTCCCTTCCTTGCACTACCCTACCTTGCACCACTCCTACCTTCCATAGCACCACTCCTACCTTCCATAGCACCACCCCCTGCACCACCCCTCCTGACCCTGCACCACCCCTCCCGACCCTGGATATCCCCCAAACCCTGCACCACTCCTCTCTACTACCACCATCCCTCCCTTCCCTGCACCACCCTCTCTACCCCGCATCACCTGTCTGACCCAACATCACCCCTCCCTACCTTGCACCACCCCTCACTATCCTGCACCACCCCTCACTACCCTGCACCACTCCTCCCTGCATCACCCCTCACTATTCTGCACCACTCCTGACTCAGAGGTCTGTGCTACAAGTAAACATAGTAATAATTCAGTATAAAAATATTCATCCCCGAGCAAATGAAGAGTTTTTCAAATAGTATCGTACACGGAAATATAAGAGAGGGAGACTTTTATCCCTGACATCCGGAACACCTGGAGAATTTAACAAACAGTATGTCACAAGCACGTAAGAATATAACTGCCGATGACTTCTCCGTGTTTCTGAACACCTGAATAGCTTTTATACAGCAACAGAGAGATAAAACGCTGTGGGTAATATAATATTATCAGTGAACCCGCAGAGCACTGGGTTAATCGTGGATATCCCAAGGTGGGTTAACACATCCTGTGGACAGCTTGAGATTCATCACGTGGGAGCTTAAGAAGGATATGAGTCATGGTGGGTGCGGCAGACGGAGTCATATCAGTACGGTAGCGGTGGGTAGCTGGCTGGTGATAGGTGAGGAGAGCTGATGAAGGGAGGGGTGAAGGAGGGTTGTTAGGAGGGGTGGGGTCAAGGTCAATGGAAATATGTGGGAAATGTGGCGAAGTATAAAAAGGGTAATGGGAGCGGATTGGATGGGTGAGGAAGGTGTTATTAGCGAATTGTAATAAATCACTGTGTACAATGGGCTGGAAGCGGGAATTAATGTGGAAAGGTATGGTGAACGGTAGTGAGGAGTGTTGCAGAATAGGGAGAAGTAGTGCAGGGTAGTGAGGGGTGGTGCAGTGTAGTGAGGGGTGGTGCAGTGTAGTGAGGGGTGGTGCAGTGTAGTGAGAGGTGGTGCAGTGTAGTGAGGGGTGGTGCAGTGTAGTGAGGGGTGGTGCAGGGTAGTGAGGGGTGGTGCAGGGTAGTGAGGGGTGGTGCAGGGTAGTGAGGGGTGGTGCAGTGTAGTGAGGGGTGGTGCAAGCTAGGGAGGAGTGTGGTGCAAAGTATCGAGTAGGTGCAGTGTAGGTAGAGAGGGGCGGTGCAGGGAAGAGTGGTGCAGGGCAGGGAGGAGGCCTGTAGCGTAGCGAATGGTGGTGCAGGGTAGTGTGGGGAACTGCATGGTAGGGAAAAGTTATGCAGGGTACAGAGGGGTGGTGCAGGGTAGTGAGGGGTGGTACAGGGTAGTGAGGGGAGCTACATGGTAGGGAAGAGTTATGCAGGGTACGGAGGTGTGGTGCAGGGTAGTAGGGGGGGAGCTGCATGGTAGTGAGGGAGGCTGCATGGTAGGGGAAGGTTATGCAGGGGGAGGGGGAGGGGGTGGTGCATGGTAAGGAGGGGTGGTGCAGAGCTAGCTAGAGGTGGTTCAGGATAGGGAGGGAGCTGCAGGGCAGGGAGGATGGGGCAGTGTAGGGAAAAGTTATACAGTGTACGGAGGGGTGGTGCATGGTAGTGAGGGGAGCTGCATGGTAGGGAAGAGTTATGCAGGGTACGGAGGGGTGGTGCATGGTAAGGAGGGTGGTGCATGGTAGGGAAGAGAGTTATGCAGGGTACGGAGGGTGGTGCATGGGTAAGGAGGGAGCTGCATGGTAGGGAAGAGTTATGCAGGGTACGGAGGGGTGGTGCAGGAGTAAGGAGGGTTGGTGCATGGTAGGGGGAAGAGTTATGCAAGGTATGGAGGGGTGGTGCATGGTAGTGAGGGGAGCTGCATGGTAGGGAAGAAGAGTTATGCAGGGTACGGAGGGTGGTGCAGGGGTAGTGAGGGGAGCTGCATGGTAGGGGAAGAGTTATGCAGGGTACGGAGGGGGGTGGTGCATGGTAAGGAGGGGTGGTGCATGGTAGGGAAGAGTTAATGCTGGGTACGGAGGGTGGTGCATGGTAGTGAGGGGAACTGCATGGTAGGGAAAGAGTTATGCAGGGTACGGAGGGGTGGTGCATGGTAGTGAGGGGGCTGCATGGTATGGAAGAGTTATGCAGGGTACGGAGGGTGGTGCATGGTAAGGAGGGTGGTGCATGGTAGGGGAAGAGTTATGCAGGGTACGGAGGGGTGGTGCATGGTAGTGAGGGGAACTGCATGGTAGGGGGAAGAGCTATGCAGGGTACGGAGGGGTGGTGCATGGTAAGGAGGGTGGTGCATGCATGGTAGGGAAGAGTTATGCAGGGTACGGAGGGGTGGTGCATGGTAGGAGGGGTGGTGCATGGTAGGGAAGAGTTATGCAGGAGTACGGAGGGTGGTGCATGGTAGTGAGGGAACTGCATGGTAGGGAAGAGCTATGCAGGGTACGGAGGGTGGTGCATGGTAAGGAGGGGTGAGTGGTGCATGGTAGGGAAAAGAGTTATGCAGGGTACAGAGGGTAATTATCAGTGGTGCATAGTGTAAGTGAGGGAAGGGGAGAACTGCATGGTAGGGCATGGTAGGGAAGAGCTATGCACTTTGATGAGGATGGCAAATATACAGGTCCAAATCAGCATGGGTACGGAGGGTCAAAGCGGGGGTGTGGTGCATGGTATCCTCCTCGCAACAACGAATTTGCGGGAATATGAGTTCCGGGTGGTGCATGGTAGGGGGTATGCAGGGCACGGAGGGGTGGTGCATGGGGAGCTGCATGGTAGGGAAGAGTTATGCAGGGGAGGGGTACGGAGGGGTGGTGCATGGTAAGGAGGGTGGTGCATGGTAGGAAGAGTTATGCAGGGTACGGAGGGGTGGTGCATGGTAGTGAGGGGAACTGCATGGTAGGGAAGAGTTATGCAGGGTACCGAGGGGTGGTGCATGGTAGTGAGGGGAGCTGCATGGTAGGGAAGAGTTATGCAGGGTACGGAGGGGTGGTGCATGGTAAGGAGGGGTGGTGCATGGTAGGGAAGAGTTATGCAGGGTACGGAGGGGTGGTGCATGGTAGTGAGGGGTGGTGCATGGTAGGGAAGAGTTATGCAGGGTACGGAGGGGTGGTGCATGGTAGTGAGGGGAACTGCATGGTAGGGAAGAGCTATGCAGGGTACGGAGGGGTGGTGCATGGTAAGGAGGGATGGTGCATGGTAGGGAAGAGTTATGCAGGGTACGGAGGGGTGGTGCATGTTAAGGAGGGGTGGTGCAGGCTAGCGAGAGGTGGTTCAGGATAGGGAGGGAGCTGCAGGGCAGGGAGGATGGGGCAGGGTAGGGTAAAGTTATACAGGGTACGGAGGAGTGGTGCATGGTAGTGAGGGGAACTGCATGGTAAGGAGGGGTGGTGCATGGTAAGGAGGGGTGGTGCAGGCTAGCGAGAGGTGGTTCAGGATAGGGAGGGAGCTGCAGGGCAGGGAGGATGGGACAGGGTAGGCAAGAGTTATGCTGGGTAGGGAGGGGCGGGGTTTGGTTTGGAGGGTGAGGCAGGGTACAGAACAGTTCTGCAGGGTAATTGCAGGGTGATGCCGAATAGGGGAGGTGTTTTGATGGGTAGGGAGGTGTTTTTGGAAGGTAGGGAGACTTTGTGCTGGGTAGGGAGGGTGGTGCAGGGTATGGAAGACTGACTGACTGACTGAGTTTAGTTTTACGCCGCTTTTAGCAATATTCCAGCAATATCACGGCGGGGGACACCAGAAATGGGCTTAACACATTGTGCCCATGTGGGGATTCGAACGCGGGTCTTCGGCGTGACGAGCCAACGCTTTAACCACTAGGCTACCCACCGCCCCGCAGGGTATGGAAGAGTGGTGCAGGGTAGGAAGTATTTGTGCAGGGTAGGGAGGATGTTACAGAGTTGAGATGGTCAGTGTAGGGCCTGGTGGTGCAGATTAGTGAGACGCGATGATTAACCGTTGAGTTTCATGAGTGATGAGAATGACTTCTGGGCGGCGATGAAGGGATGAAGTGTGGTAGGGAGGCTGGTGACAGCCTCGTCTCTAATAGCAATAATGTTACCGGGGACTGATGCCCTCACAGAAATACCTGAGATGAATTATCGCTTGCACAATCGCTCCAACTCCTACCCAGAAACCTAGCAACAATCTATACCAAACACACCTCTCCGCCAGTCTCCACAGCCGATAATACGTTGACAAGTTTACTGTTGGTGAGCTTGTCGTTGCTGCAGCAGGGGACTCTCCCATTGGAAATACACAGCCAACTGTCCGGTACGGTAGGTTCAGGCAATATTCCATTTGTGAACAAATTATATTAATAGATTTCACTTAATACATTAACACATTTCCCATTAATATGACCTGAGGAGACACTCGCTAATAAATAACTAGAGATGATCACGGAGAGCTTTCTTTGTATCGATAATGGTTTTCATACTACTTGAAACACGTACGCGCAAACTGCAGCCGGAATCGTGGACTGTTTTGTTAAGCACATGCGCAGTTTCTTGCTCTTTATTAAATAAATATATCACCAAAACATTTCAAATATGTACATTTACTTGTATTATGTTAAGTTTTCCATGCAGTCCACTATATTTTCAGTTGCCATCTTATCCATATTATTTATTTTATAGTGGATTTAATTGCTAACTCCCTTTTAATGATTTGTTTTTCTGGAGCGTGGAGTGATATTGCTGGGACGTTGCTAAAAGCGACGTAAAAGACAATATTTCACTTAATGATGTGTTTAATACTGGGATAATATTGAACTCGTATTATCGCTTGAAACATTTGGGAATTTCGTATTTGATTATATCTGTAAGCAAGAGTAAATGTATAAGAAGGCCAACAGTAAGATAATATTTTAAATAACCGAGCTCAAGACGGTCAGGTAATTATAATGTTGAATAATGGTTACAAAAGCTATTCCATAAGAGTCTATGGTTCTATTCCGACTCTGTCATAAGCATCAGGTTTCACTGTCCAATAGTGATGACACCGGGTTTTACGAAATGACACCCGTAACCCGCTATGTATTCTTACTGGTAAAGCTCTGAACTATGTCGGCCACCTTAAGAAACGTTTTGTTACAAATGACAGATGAGGTCGTGGGTAATAATGCTATCCTGTTGTTCAAGAACATAGTCTTTGTACTTCTGGTTGTTGTCATCTGTTGATATCGATCTAAAGTCAACTTTTGATTCAAATGGAACATATTTTCACAAATCAATAAAGGCATACCGGTTTGGTAACGAATAGCAACAGACTTTAATTATTAGGTGGATTCCGTCAATGTTCAGACGCGTGGTGTCAAGTCTGGTTTCATGCCCATATTCTCCCAGGCCAGATTTTACTGGTAACACATTTCGTACCGTTACATTTATCAAGCCATACATCCAATGCTACCAGACAACCGTTATGACCATGCTATTTTCTAATCACTATATATCTATATTTATAAACGCCGTATTTTTCAGTTATAATATAATGTGCAATGAACCGTATTTTCGACTGCGAAAATATTATAATTTCTCGCTGTCCACCGACCAGGCGTCTTTCCACATTTCTTGGAAATGGATGGAATCGTCCATAGGAGTGGCAGGTATTTGACTACTTTTGTATCGCCGTTTTCCCTACAAATAGTGGACAGGTCCTGATCAATTCTCGGAAATCAGCTGCATGTCGCAATCACGTTATATTTTGAAGGTCATACAATGTATTAAATGATTCGCGGAACTGGCATGTTGAATCACGTTTTCTGCTCGGTCAGGCAGGTGTATGGTAATAAATTCTTACTCATAAATTAACAGTCCCTCCTGGATCCGGCTTGATATTCATCAGTCTATGCTTGTCGTAAGAGGCAGGCAAGAAACTGGATCGGGTGGTCAGCCTTGTTGACTTGGTTGATATATGTCATCGTATACTCCCCATCAAAAGTTTAGACTCACTAGTGTAAATGTAGCCACTTACTTCAGTCAACTTTTCTGAACTAGATTTTGTAAAATAATCCATACAGTTTAAAGATACTGTTTATACATGAGCTGATGTATTGTAACACAAATTCGTGACGTTGAAAGGTTTATTGTCATGTTCAATTAATGATGAAACTCGGTGAAAAATTGGCGATTGTTTTTATCAAAACTTTACACCAAAACGCAGCTGTTCACATGCACGATATTAGCACATGCTTTTCAGCAATTTGATGCATGATCCTCGTGCAGTTAATCTGCATAAGGTTTGCAGTTGGTTCCCCCAAGTTAGTGGAGAAATTCATCTTCGTTGTAACCAAATGTACATACATAACATATAGTGATTGATTTAAGCCAGTCTAAACTTTTGATGGGTAGTATATTTCAGCTGAGTAGATCGATGCTCATACTGTCAATCACTAGGTTGTCTGCTCCAGACTCAATTATCGCCGTCACATATCTGGTATATTGCTGAGTGTTGCGTTAAGCAAAATGAAAAAGAAAGAAGAATGTAAAATTTTATACAACCCCCAAAATTGGGATTTCGAGTCGGAATACATGTATGTCCCCTGTCCTTCAAAATCTGCTGCAGGATCCGACTAAAACGGCAATCTGGACATGACCTGGCCGATTGTCATCATTTCATCATTGACGCGGGTTGTCGCTCATGCGTTCAGTCACTCGTTTTATCATGACTAAATGCTATTATTCACAGCCAGCCATCACATTGTCGGAGTATTATAGAACACGATGTGAAATAACACTCATGGTCTTTCACAGGCTCCACGAGTGACATGGGTGTGTCATAAATTTGATATGTCTTTAATATATGTATAATTTGGGTTTCTTGACGTGGAGTTGGAAGTAAGAATGCACAAGGCTGCTACTGGAACTCAAATGCTTTAAAAGCTACAGCCCCTCATTAACTTCTCAGGCCCAATTTACAGAACCTGGGGTTCTGGAGTTGACGTACTTTTGAATAAATATGACATGTTTAATATCAGTACCTATTAGAATCCGATAATGCACCCTGCACACTAGCCTCGTGAATACGTTTTCTCGGAATGGTGATATGAATATTGGATTCAGTATAGAGGGATTTTGCCTGGATACTTTCTATTTGACTATTTGACGCCTGCTCTCTTCGCTTGTTTCAGTTGTAATGCAAGCATAACATGTCATCACTTTATCCCATCATCACGACTCTCCAGCTTCACATCCGTCATGGTGGTTTGAGTCGCGGTGTACACTATTGCGTCCCTTGGTCGTGCAAGGATCCAGTGATCGTGCATAAGAACAAATGTTTCCCATGATCTGTTGCTGCTCTGTGTCGAACGCTCGGTTCTTGTGAGGTCATCTGGCACGTTCGATGAACTTTGGAACACCAAAAGAATCGTATGCATATACACTGGGACAATGTATACTGAAAACTGTTCTGTAACTAGACAAATCGGGTGTGTTTTTGTACCCTAATGGTTAAATCGTCCGCTCATCATGCTGAAGACCTGGGTTCGATTCCCCATTCGGGCAAAGTGTGTGAAGCCCATTTCTGGTGTCCTCCGCTTATTTCTGGTGTACCCCCGCCATGATACTGCTGGTTTAATGCCAAAAGCGGTGTAAAACCATCCTCACTCACTCCAACATGGATGCAGCGCACCAAGCCATTATACCGAATCCGGTCTTACCAGGTCATGTTGCATCCTCCTGACGCCAAACACCAGGCACAGTAACGACAAGTACATCTTTTAATGACTTTTTGGTAAGATGATTCCATCCCCAACCTTCAGTTCTCTAGACAGCCAACGCTACCAGACTGTCGTTGTGATGATAAGCAATAAAAGTTCTTTACGATTGGCAAAAAAAATATAAAATCTATTTTCATTCTTTCAAGTACGTAATGACTCCCAAGAAGGTAAATACCTCTAAATGGTCAATTAAATAAAGACCTAAACATAATTTCATCCCTTCATGGAAGCATAATGTTTTCTTTATTTCGTTCTTTCAAATATGTATTGATCTCTCCAATAGAGGATAGCACATGCATATCCCATTGGAAAATGAGAGGTTGAATAATAATCTTTGTTTTATACCATGTCTATTATCATTTGTGTAATGTTCTCTACCCAGGGGGAAACACACGGATATGTTCCTATCAGTCCCAAATAATTGTTTTGCTGCTTTCAAGTTATGTTTCTAGCGGGTTCTTAGTAGTGCTCTTAACCGCTTCTTCCTCATCGAGAGACACAAATGACTCCTCACAATGACCCTTGCAAGAAGGTGCAAAGGTATAACATGCAAACATCGACACCCTTCCCTCTCATAAAATGATACAAATTATGTTCTTTATGTTTCCCGAGACAGAATATACCTGTTCTTCCTAATTATGCACACGTGCTTTATGACACTACAAAGTGTTCCTTCTCTTTTACATAGTATGACCTGTGTGCAATAGCTCCATTGTGACTGTCCTTAAAAAGGGATTACCCCCTGTGAGAGTTAGAGTTACATTGTACATGACTAGGTATGCGTGAAATGACCTATGATTGTTGCGTGCAAACAACTACTTCCGTCTAAGTATTCAGACATGGTTTAAATGCTTCGTACAATGTCGAATTGATATAAGAATTTTTCTTATTGAAAATCGATCTTCCTGAAGCTACTTTTCCCACGTACAGGTTCCGCCCAGCAGGTTCGAGCAGCCCAGTTAAAAATTGTATCCTATCTATACAGATGAAGTGAAAAAACCTTTCCATATATCATGAATATAAAACGGCAGTGTGAAAGAACACGGTGCCCTGACCTACAGTTTCCTGTTGGTGCAAGGACAAAATATCAAACTATATAAATAGACCACTGAAAATCAGTAATGACACCAGGTGTTCGGGAAAGGGGTAGCATGTCCCGTACTTCCGGCAGCACCCACCATTCGCACACATTTCCTGCAAAAATAAGTATTTACAAAAGTAGCAGTACTCTTGCCATGCAACGGCTGACTGCAAAGAAACCAGAACATCAGTATTGTCGATTGTACGATTTTACGTCATTGTACATCATTGTACACCATTATACATCACAAGCATGTGTTTATGAAAAACTATTTTAAAGCGATACCAGGCTTTGGCTAAAGTATTAGAGCACCCTGCCTCTCCGGTTTCAACCGTCAGAAACAACTGCAAAGGAAAGTCAGTTGATCACCCGAACAAACATGTTAAAATAGGGAGCTTCACTGGGCATTATTGTGGTCACGCGCTTTTTTAATTATCCGCCACCGACTCTGTGTGTTCAGTAACGCTAAACGATTTATGTGAACTAGCTCGTAAGCTACTGTTTTCAACAGCTGATCATGTTGACTGAGTTGAGCTACAGAGTTAATGCGATAAGTTTTATGATGAACTGGCTCGAGGGCTACTGTTTGCAACAGCTGAGTATGCTGGCTACATGGAACAAAAGTTAATGTGACAAGTTTCATGATTAACTAGCTCTTAGACTACTGTTTTCAAAAGCTGATCATGATGGACAAGTGGAACACATAGTTAAATTGACAAGTTTCATGATGAACTAGCTCGTAGGCAACTGTATTTATGAGCCGATCAGCTGATGAAAAAGGTGACACAACAAAGCTATTGTCTTCAACTCTTGCTTCTGTGCATTTCGAGTTGACGAAGTTTAAATCTATATCTAATTCTGAAAATACACATGCACATAAAAAGACAAAGTGATATTGTGAAAATATGTCCCACAAAAGTGTTTTTGCTTTATTCAATAGTACAATTGTGATGTGCTGGTATACAGCACAGTGTCCTAGAAAACGCGTGCATCTCTTCACAATCACACACGTCTTTACAGAGAGATTCATGCTTACGGTATGTTAATGTTTGGTTATCTGATCTGTGAAGGTTCACTATGCATCTGTCTGTCATGATGACACACCGATCCCTGTGAAAGGCGTTTGTGCAGCCGTGGAGTAAGACACGCGGGTCATGTGGTTGTGTTGCAATCGCTTCGTTACCATGCAGACTCCACCACCTGTCATTGTCAAGTATTGAACAAACATGCTGCTGAACGGATCAATAGGGAACCACAGGAAAGGAGGACGTATTGATAAGGATGTATGCATGAAGTATTGTAACATTCATATATTCATGCATTCAAGGTTTGGGTACCTGTTATATAATTCAAGCTCTATTTGTGAATTTATGATGGACTTGGTGTAGTGAGTGTTTGTTTGTAGTGAGTGAGTGAGTGAGTGGGTGGGTGAGTTAGTGAATGAGTGAGTGAGTGAGTGAGTTAGTGAGGGAGGGAGGGAATGAGGGAGGTATGTATTTGTATGAACCCCCTACTATCACAAGTGACAAGTAACACCTCACATGGGCTCAGCCTTTGTTCTGAACAGAACCCGGACCTTAGGCGAGACGAGCGAAGGCTTGAACGACTAGGTTACCGCTCTCGGGCATAAGTTCGGCGAGAGAAGGGAAAAAGGCGTGGTGTGTGTGTGTGTGGGGAGGGAGAGAGTGCGCGTGCGTGCGTGTGCGTGCGTGCGTGCGTGCGTGCGTGTGTGTGTGTGTGTGTGTGTGTGTGTGTGTGTGTGTGTGTGTGTGTGTGGTAGGTTCTTTCGATTTGGGTCAGGGATTGCAATATGGGTCTGTCGGGGGTTTTGACAGTTGAGTACATCGGCACCCTGGAAGTGCGTCAGTCGCCTAAGGGGTCACAAGTACGTTTACTCCGAGCATGGCTTGTAATGTACACAAAACTTTTCCATCATTTTGCGATTATTTCTCCTCCTGTGTTCGAAATTAAACTATGTGAATCAGTTAATTAAGACATACTGTTTCCAGTGAAATTAATCTTGGGTTCGGAGTAATTTTCTCTGTGAAACATGTATTTTATTGATTGACCATGTTTCACTGCATGCATTTCTGGATATGGTCATTGGAATGATTCCAGTAGAATAGACTTCATAGAACCTAAGCTAAATGTAATGGTGCCAATGAAGAAGCACACCAAACCTTCTGAACACAATTCACCGATAGCCAAAGCGGTCAGCTCTCTTCACTCTCTCACTTGCATTTTAAGCAACAGGCCAACCCACAATAATGAGCTATATAATGTTTGAAATGAGATATATACTTGCATAATTAAATGTTCAACAGCTGTGAGCGAGAAATTTTACCCAAGACACAGAATTTCACTAAAGGGAAGGCTACACGTGGTTTGATGTACATGTCCTTAATCAATTTGCTACACGAATCTCATTTCATCCATTTCTTATCATCGTCTCACTTTTACAATGTTGTCTAGCTTTGTTATGCAATGTCATTTTGAGGCTGTAGACAGAGGCATATATATGACAATGATACATGTGTGTCTGAATATGTAGACAGGCGTATATGTGAAAACGATACATAAGTGTCTGAATGTGTAGAAAGGCGTAAATGTGAAAATGATACATAGGTGTCTGAATGTGTAGACAGGCGTAAATGTGAAAATGATACATAGGTGTCTGAATGTGTAGACAGGCGTATATGTGAAAATGATACATAGGTGTCTAAATTTGTAGACAGGCGTATATGTGACAATGATACATATGTGTCTGAATGTGTAGAGAGAGGCATATGTGTGAAAATGATACATATGTGTGTGAATGTCCAGACAGAGGCATATGTGTGAAAATGATACATATGTGTGTGAATGTCTAGACAGAGGCATGTGTGTGAAAATGATACATTTGTGTGTGAATGTCTAGACAGAGGCGTATATTAGAAAATGATTCATATGTGTCTGAAAGTGTAGACAGGAGCGTATATGTAAACATGATAGTAAATATATGTCTGAATATGTAGATAGAGGCATATGAGTTAAAATGATACATAGGTGTCTGAATGTGTATACAAATGTCTATATGAAATGAAACTGACTGTAGAATCTGATTGTAGAAACATGTATGGATGGAAATCAAACTTTAGTGTCTCACTTAGTTCATGCGAACAAAGCCAAGATGTTGATATAAGTATACACTTATATTGAGCGAGTGGGTATAGTTTTACGCCGTTTTTCACGATATCCCAGCAATATCACGTCGGGGGACACCAAGAATGGGCTTCACATATTGTACCCATGTGGTGAATCAAACCCGGACGATCTACGTGCTAATTATATAAGCGAACGCTTTAACCACGTGGCTACACCACCGCGCACTGAACAAGGCGACTGGGCTAACACCTTGTCTCGCCTTTTCATACCACCAGCTGTTCATCTGATAAATATTCAATGTTTCCTGTGCTGCAATGACATATTTGAGTTACCATGTGATAATAAGAAGTTGCAATTGTACCAAGAGCTCATGAGTCATCATTGAAACATTGAATGTGCATGCTTGGACTCATTCAAGCCGATTAAGCCTATCCCCAACTTCAGTATAGCATCACGTGGTAAGGTCATATTTCACGTACTGAATTTGCTTCTTTCAAAGATCAACAGCCAATGAACAAACGCCTGAGTCCCACCCCGTCTTGGGAAAGCTCGTTATACCACTCCCCCGATTTTCGGTGACTCGACGTTCATCAGATAGGTCATGTTTTCTTGTCTCCATGGAGGCCAAAGCACAACTAGTATATAACAGACATCATGACCTTCTACTTTGTGCCTCGCAAGAATATAGGTGTGAGAACCTGTTAAAGTAATGCACTTGGGATTCGATTTCCATTAGTTTATATTTTTTAACAAAATAATTTCGGTGGTATGAGGTACCATGTAATCCATGTCGTCAGAGATCACATATACCTATCATATGGTCTCTGATGCCATATGCATCAGACGCATGTGTTAAGGGAAATTTATTTTTCGGAAGAGCTGTGTTTCAGGATTGTGTTGAACGAAGCTTTGGAGCTTTCTTAAAAGTGCGTTCGTCATGTCGTGTAATTCATCAGCTTTTGTAGCTTACCGCCAGTTCCACCAACTTTTCTGTTTTTGATTCTTACGCTTCAGATCTTGTTTGTCAATATGTCATTATCATATGTTCGTTCACTATTGCAGGATAGCAGCAGACTCAAATAGGAACCATGAACGTGAGCTACCTTACAGGTATGTGTGTTTCATATGACCTACGGTAAATAATGATAGTGAAATTAATGACAATATTTATAACGCGCCTTTCCAGGATACATACATATGGTTCTCAAAGCGCACAATCTGATTGGTATTACCCCGGATAATAATGTGATAATCATATGAACGTTTCCTTATGAACGTTGAAATGGAAGTGTTAAGGATAAAATAAGGATGACAACTAAGTGAGTGCGTGAGTTTAGTTTTACGCCGCACTCAGCAATATTCCAGCTATATGGCGGCGGTCTGTAAATAATCAAGTTTGGACCAGACAATCCAGTAATCAACATCATGAGCATCGACCTGCGCAATTGGGAACCGATGACATGTGTCAACAAAGCCAGCGAGTTTGACCACCCGAACCCGTTAGTTGCCTCATAGGTTACTGAAGGTTCATTCTAACCCGGACCTTCGTGGAGCAGGATGACAATTAAAGATGAAATCGCAAACGAATGGTAAATCGAGTTTTATAGGGCCAATGATTGCTCTGTGGTGTGGATTCCATGTACCTAGAACAACCCACGTTGCTTAGTGTAAGGTGAAAGGGTTACGTGGTTTTATCTTGAATGAAAGACCCACTTCGTTGTCTGTTCTGTTAACCACTGAATTGAATAGCCAAATTTATTTAGGTACGTCTTTATAATAACTGGAATATGAAAAGCTGGAAACATCATTTACGTTACAAAGTCTCCTAGGATTGATGTAAAAATTGGGAAATGAGAAATGTTTGTACTTTCGTTTTGTAGTTATCGCGTTATTACTGTGCTTCGACTATGGAAGATGCACGACCTCTGCCACGGAATCAAGTACAACGGATCCCACTTCAACATCGCCGATGACATCTACTGATGCCACAGCTTCGACGACGACCGCCGCCACCACATCTGTAACTACTGCAGCAACTGATACAGCATCAACCGCAGGCACGACTGCTGGGACGACCGCGTCTACCAGCGCTGGTGGGTCCACCACGTCAACTGCCGCCGTCACTTCGTCAACTGCCACCACCGCCGCTGGATCCACCTCGTCAACTGCCACCACCGCCGCTGGATCCACCTCGTCAACTGCCACCACCGCCGCTGGATCCACCTCGTCAACTGCCACCACCGCCGCTGGATCCACCTCGTCAACTGCCACCACCGCCGCTGGATCCACCTCGTCAACTGCCGCCACCTCGTCAAGTGCCGCCACCGCTGGAGACACCTCGTCAAGTGCCGCCACCGCTGGAGACACTTCGTCAACTGCAGCCGCATCAACATCGACTCAGGCACCAACTACTGTGAGGCTCCTATAATGAATTCATTTTACACCAGGATACTTGACACATTCACAGTGCATGGTACAATCGAATAGAAATTTATTTGAGTATTAATTGTTGACTATTTTACAAATTTGACACATGACTTTCGGCATGTATTGACAAAGGCGCATCACCACGCGCATCACCACGCGCATCACTACGCGCATAACCGTGAAGATCCGGGTTAGAATTGATCTTCAGTAACCCATGCTTGTCTTAAGAGGCGACTTACGGGTTCAGGGGGGTCAGGATCACTGACTTGGTTGACACATGTCACATGCTCATGATTTTGATCACTGGATTGCCTAGTCCAGACTCGATTATTTACACACCGCCGTAATATAGCTGGAATATTGCTGAGTGTGGCATAAAACTAAACTCACTCACTCACTACGCGCATACAATCCAGGAATTGCAATTTCTTTCCAAAACTGTTATATTGAAAACCAAACAACAACAACGTTGTGACAGCTATCCCAGAAATGATAACGCTATACCTACGTTAAAGTTATATAATTTATGTCGACAGGTTGAGTGTTTTAACAGCACTTGTACTGGCGATGGCTGCCCTGCAAACATAACAAGAGACAATGGGACGTGCATGGGGACTGCATGCAAGGTAAGAAACAGTAAAAAGTGGCGTTATTATCCCCCGCCACGAAGTTGGAGGGAATATGGGTTGGAACTCCGTCCGTCCGTCCGTCCGAGATGGTGGGGGACAGATTTTCTCAAAAACCGTTATAGATAAGGAAACCAAATTTGGTATGTGTTTTCAGGACATGAATGCCTTGATGGAGTTCGAAAACGGAAACCGTGTTACGATCCTTTACAATTACTAAGTAAGGTTATTTAAAAAAAAGTTGTTACTTACGTACTTAGATCCTTTACAGAGTTATGGCCCTTGTCATGCGTGTCTTGACTTAGTGCACGTTATGCCCAATGGGAACAGATTTTCTCATTTAACAGCTTATGTATCGCTATTTGTAGGAAGAATGAATAGTTGTCAAAATATGACAGAACACCGTGGCGGGGGTTATTGATGAGCATGTCTTCTTATTGATCGGTAATTCACTTTTGATTGATTTGGCTTGTCATGTGTTTGTGATGGGTGTCAACGGTGTAGCAGAATATGCTCATATTTCCGGGAACACAATTTGATAAACACATTTTGTGGAAACTGATTTTATCGGAGATATGTGGTTATGGCTGTATTGTTATTATAATTGTTTACAGATTAAACATAAACTGCAACAGAGAGGGGTTGGGTGGTCCTGACACTGTTTATCTGGTAAAGCGTAGCCCGAAATCCACTTGGAATAATTTTGGGAGTTTGTTTCCTGAAATTGCCTCCCACCACTTCCATAGTGTGGGAGATCACTGGTTATAGGGGACGGCGAGGTAGCCTAGTGGTTAAAGCGTTCACTCATCACGCCGAAGACTCGGGTTCGATTCCCCACATGGGCACAATGTGTGAAGCTCATTTCTGGTGTCCCACGCCGTGATATTGCTGGAATATTGCTAAAAGTTGCGTTAAACTAAAGTCAATCAGTCACTCACTGGTTATAGATATCGGGGTTGTCTGCGCAGAGTTTCATCCCTTAGTACCACAAGGATCCGCTTCAAATCAAAGATTCACTGATTTGGTAGCATTACCCTGATTTCAGGGGTTTCTTCAAAGTGGTGCGACCTATTTTTCTCGCACATCATACAAGGCCCCGTTTCACGAAGCGATTGGACCTCTGAGGCGATCGTAAGCTAATGTTAAGGGATGGAATTACGATCAACTTAGAGCTAAGGCCGCTTTGTGCCACGGGATCCCGACACGCAGTGGTGTAGGTTAAACACACTACTAAACAGCGTATATTTGCTGAATATTTGCCGACTTTGCGTAGATTGATGGTCATGATGTCAATCACTGGATTGTCTTACCAGACTCGATCATTTACACACCGAATTCATATAGTCGTAATACTGCGGTGTTAAACAACAACAACAACAACAACAACAACAACAACAACAACAACAAAAGCGCTACATACATGTTCTCAATTTCAGCTTCAGTTGGACAAGACCAGTAACACCAAGACCTACACGATGTCGTGCTCTGGCACAAACTGTCCCTACCTTGCATCCAACAGCCAAACGGAGTGGAATTGCTGCGTCAGCAACTACTGTAACAACAACACCGCCATCTTAATCTTCAGTTCGGGGATGGCAGTTTCTCCTCACATTGGCTGGACGTTTTTGTCTCTTGCTGTAACTGCTTTGTCACTGATAAGGATTTAATTTCTCAAATGGCAACCGGGCACTGGGCTCACAAAGTAGCATATTCAAAACATTACTTTCGAAAAAGGTTGTTTTTTGCTTTTGCGGAATTTAAATCCTTTTTTCGTTCTTTGTTTCATTTTTCAGTCTACTGACTGACTGAGTTTAGTTTTACACCGCTTTTAGCAATATTCCAGCAATATCACGGCGGGGGACACCAGAAATGGGCTTAACACATTTTTTCAGTCTAGGTTATACTGGTGAAATAATTCACAATAACTATATCTTTGAATCATGTATTTTCCCTATGTTGGTCTATTCCAAAGTTAACTTAAGTTAGTTTAAATTTCCGGGGATATATTATATATTAATTTTTCAAAAAAGTTAATTGATATCACCCCCTCCTGGGCATTCAGATTTCTGAAAGATGAAGAAAAATATATTTGTGGCAAAATGTAAGTTTTAGAATATACAAATATGTACCTTGATGGTTGCTAACTTCAAAATATTTGTTAATTGTTGTTATTTAGTTATATCTGTTTACGATTTCTGCTTTGATCTCGTTGTTAAGCGAATATGTTGTATATATTTGTTTGAAGTGACAAGAGCAATTGCTCGCTGAACTATGTGGTTTTGAGAATCTAAGCGTGTATTGATCTGCGTCTGAGGGTGTACTTTAAATGATATACTCTTGGCAAATTTTACTTGTAAATAATTCTGCAGTTATGTTTATTAAATATTTGCTTTTGATTACGTTTGATAGCCTGAATAAGTCGCTTTATCCCGCCATCTCTGCAAAAATCTGTCATAGACGATTCAAACTCCATATTAAGAGTTTAGAGTTTGAGTATCGCGCTCCATTTTCGCCCTTCACGAATCGTTCGTTAGATTTTGTGATAAGTAATAACAGTTTTGCCAGAATCTAAGCGTTATAACTTATATAACTGATGGAAACCTTAGTTAAAGTAATGAAGATGCGTTAACTGAACAAAAATCAATTCATGAAACGGGACCCTCAACATTGATCCGCAATGAGTATTGTAAATTAATACTTTAATGTCGAATTACAACTTACTTACGTTAGCTTATTTATCAGGAAACTGAAATTAGGTTTGTATATATGAAAGTAGCTAGGCAAGAACAAAAATAACATGCAGTTTACACACAAAGCACTGAAAAATAATCTTGACCTCTTTAAAACGACCATGTTACACGTTGACACGTTACCATGGCTACGGATTTCGTGGATTCATTATCTTTCACATTTTGAAAGGTATTATGCAAGGTGGTTGAAATTGTTTCAGCTTTTATCACGTTTAAATTCATTTTAATTTCCAAGCGTTAACCCTTAATGAACTAATTCCTGTTAGTCGTCCCTATGACGTCATTTGAAGTGAAGAGTGTTGCCGACGTCAACTCGTCACTGAGACAGAAGGGAGATAACTGTTACCGTTTGGATTTTACTATGAAACAAGCATTTGACAATGTTCTGTGATTTACACATTGTTGGCCCTAAAACAGCAATAACTATTTTCAGATGTTGACTGCATTGAAAAAATACCGGCATGAATGTGAATTTCGATGTTTTTTCACAAAAACACCAATTTTATCCTTGTATTTTTTAATACTAGTATTATTCACTCGTAAATATCCGCCCAATTTTACACATAATTGTTTTACCTCATTGTAGGCATGTGATATGAACTGATGGACAAAAGAAAGTATACACTGGAAATAAGGATTTGACACAAAAGTACAAACGATGTCATATCGTTACTCGGTTGAAAACAACCACTAACACGCAGAAAACGGAAGGTCCAAAACTACAACCTCATCGAATACCTTTCTTTCTTTATTTTCATTCACCATCAAACTCAGGTGTATACTTTCTGTTGTCCGATACTGTATGTGTGTATTCTTGTTCAGATGCCCGTCCTCTTCAATTGTGATACATTTTAGAGTGTTCTCTCATATGTACATGTTCATGTATATTGTTTGTTTGAAATAAAAAATGTAACATAATATATTTCTCTTTCACCTTAATTGAATGCGGGTTCGAACAGATGACTGCCTTGAAGATGAGGCTAACTATATCCGGTTGGTTGAAAGATGAGGCCATGGTCAAGTTATTATTTGGTTTTCAGAGATTCAAATTTAATTATATAAATCTATAAGCACATAAGCAAGAAAAGATGTAAAATACCCAAGACCGTTTTCCGCAGGACGTGGGTCCAAAGGAAACCCCCTTTCTCTGTCCGGTAAAGTTTCCTGGAGATTCACAGAGTAAACACATTGCCTAAACGACATATCACTAGGACCCTTTGCAATGGTCTTAAAGAGGGACGGTGGAGTAGCCTCGTGGTAAAAACCTTCGCTCGTCACGCGGATGACCTAGGTTCGATTCCCCGCAAGGCTACAATGTGTGAAGCTCATTTCTGGTGTCCCCCGCCGTGATATTGCTGGAATATTGCTAAAAGCGGCGTTAAACCAAACTCACTCTTAAACCGACTTCTCTTACTTGAAGGGGCGGTGGGGTAGCCTAATGGTTAACGCGTTGGCTCGTTACGCCGAAGACCCGGGTTCGAATCCCCAAATGGGTACAATGTGTGAAGCTCATTTCTGGTGTCCCCCGCCGTGATATTGCTGGAATATTGCTAAAAGCGGCGTAAAACCAAACTCAGTCAGTCAGTCATTACATGATTGAAGTGTTTACCTGGCTGCCTTTGCGGGGACTCTCCCAAGATCTCAATACGAGATATTTTATTCATCAATTTGAATATACAGAATATATTATGAAACTATTTTCATATTCAGAAGTAATTTGAAGAGTAAGTAGATTCCTCTGTAAGATTCCGACTCTATCACGTAACAAGTTCATGTTACAGAATCAAACGCTTTAACCACTAGGCTACCCCACGCCCCTGTGGAACGCTTGACGTACAAGGTAGTATATTTGGTGTGCTATCCAAACGGTAGTGACTGTTGCCTACAATATCGCTCACTGGTCCGCGCTCCATTCTTACCATCAGTCATGGTAACAAGTGGAAACACCCTTCATCCCACAACGTAGATGTGACCCGTAGTTGGTTTATATGGGCTTAAGGTTCACTATTAGAACAAAAGCGGTATACCTTGCACTATCTGAAAGCTGTAAACTCATTATTGTTTGAATTAAAATGAATAATTGTGCGAATTAAAATATTACATACATTATCACGTGAAAGGTTATGGCGACCATAAGTGGTGCACTTGTACCTAATCCCGTTGTCTTTTGGACAATAAAATATGTTCAAACCAATGGTTATTATATACACCATGTAGAATTGACACAATTACATGTGTGAACTGTTTGACTCTCATTTTGAAATTTGGCGAGTAACCAACACATACATTTTATGGATGACAATTTCTTTGGGTTTTTTTCAAAGTTGTCATCTATAAAGAACCTTGCCTGTACAATTTGTTTATGTGACATTAATTATAAATACATTATCTCTATACATGTTTTCTGTTTAAACATTCTAATCTCGTAATCGCGGATCTTTTTCCACGGATAGCTAACAGAATATAATTGGCACAATGTGCTCTTTAAGCTCGCGTTACCTTTCAGGAACCTTAAAATTTTAGATGTTATCTGTCTGAGAAGACCCAATCTTGTCCCCACACTCAATAGTCAAGGGGAACTAACTGTACCGTGTTCAGATATAAATGATGCTGAACGCGTTTCCAAAAGGATGGATTTTATAGCCGCTTTCATTGGAATCGCAACCTGCAATCCGTGAATTGTTTTGAATAGATAATGAGAAGTAGGCTTGAAACATGTACTACCTATATGCAGAAGAGACAAATTGTTAACACTATGTTACATGTACATCACTTACAATCCACCTACATGGCAGAGGCCTGTTAGCCCAGAAAGATCCCTGCTAGAATTGATCTTCAGCAACCAATGCTTGCCATACGAGGCGACTAACGGTATCGGGTGGTCAGGCACGCTGACTTGGTTGACACATGTCATCGTATCCCAATTGCGTAGATCGATGCTCATGCTGTTGATCACTGGATTGTCAGGTCCAGACTCGAGTACTTACAGACCGCCGCCATATAGCTGGAATATAATTGATGGGTGCGGCGTTAAACAAAACAAACTAACAAGAGTTATATTAACATCATGAGCAAGCGCCCGTGCCAAAGGGATGTCATCCCAAAGAATCGCCCAGGTGACACATCATGCACACTTAGTCGTTAGTAAATCCAGGCCTTACGAAACAAACACAAGGAGGGTTAGTGATATTGGATCTTAATGAACCATCACCCGGTGTTTTCCAAAAAGGCATGTGTGCTTACAGGGTTAGAATGAGACCTATGTTGACGAGGTGATCACGTATGACCTAACATGAAGTTTGAGAAGACATCATAGTCGTCCTATGTTTCCGCTGCCTTTAACGACACACTTTGTACACATTCTCCTTCATAACATTAACCAGTGTCTTCAACATTAACAGACTAGGCATTAAAACTAAAATCAAAAGATGATGACTGTATATTTCAGGGCGTGGGTTCTCACGGTTTCGTAACACAGGCGATGCCTGTCGTTAACTGACTGACTGACTGAGTATGGTTTTACGCCGCTTTTAGCAATATTCCAGCAATATCACGGCGGGGGACACCAGAAATGGGCTTCACAAATTGTACCCATGTGGGGAATCGAACCCGGGCCTTCGGCGTGACGAGCGAACGCTTTAACCACTGGGCTACCCCACCGCCCCCTGTCGTCAACGTTATCTGTCTCTCCATATCGTGATTGTAATCTGCTAATTACTGACTATGACCTATTAAGAGCGCGAACCACACATTGCACAATGTTGTCTTATTATTATTACATAATATTTATATAGCGCACATATCCACGTGACTAGTACATGCTGAAGTCGCTGGTATTTCCCTCGATCACTGGATGTCAATCTCAACGGCACATCGTATTATCAATCTCTACTATCCAGGGACCATACAACTCTTGCAGCCACTAGGCGCACCGAGTTACTAGCCTGGCGCCTTAGCCAGCTCGCCCACCCCGGCCCCAAACGTGTCTTGATCCAACGCCCAACATGACATCTGCCCGAAGGAGTTCCTGACGTGACCAATGCTGCATGTAAATAAACACGGCGTTCATTTGAGTTTCAAACACTATCAGGACAAGTTTCAATCTGTATTTTTTTATCCGCCATATAGCTGGAATATTGCTGAGTGCGGCGTAAAACTAAACTCACTCACTCACTGTGTTTTTATCACTGAAACGTTCACCACGACCCTATGCACGTGCACATCATGAAGAACTCGAAACCGGCGTGTTTGCACGAAATTCTTAACACGTTGTGAATGGAATAATAATTTTCTAAATCCATATATTCAGTCATACAACCTGGTGCCCAAATAAACTCCCCATCAAAAGTTTGGACTCACTAGTGTAAATGTAGCCACTTACTTCAGTCAACTGTTCTGAACTAGATTTTGTAAAATAATCCATACAGTTTAAAGGCTCTGTTTATACATGAGCTGATGTATTGTAAAACAAATTTGTGACGTTGAAAGGTTTATTGTCATGTGTTCAATAAATGATGAAACTCGGTGAAATATGGCGATAGTTTTTATCAAAACTTTACACCCAAACGCAGCTGTTCACATGCACGATATTAGCGGATGCTTATCAGCAATTTGATGCATGATCCTCGTGCAATTAATCTGCATAACGTTTGCAGATGTTTCCCCCCAAGTTAGTGGAGAAATTCATCTTCGTTGTAACCAAATGTACATACATAACTTATAGTGATTGATTTAAGCGAGTCTAAACCTTTGATGGGTAGTATAGGATCCCTACCTACGTGTTTCAACCAGTAGCCCTGGTTTTAAGCTTACAAACATCCACGATAACTGTTTATTGCTGTACGATGTACCTGCGTCAAATGTGTGTGTGTGTGTGTGTGTGTGTGTGTGTGTAATGTCATTATTAACGCCGCAATATTCCAGCTATATGGCTGCGGTCTGCTCATAATCGAATCTGGACCAGCCAATCCACTAATCAACAGCTAGCGTATCGATTTACGCAATTGAGATAGATTATATGTGTCAACCAAGTTAGTGAGACTGACCACCCAATCTTGTGACAAGCATGGGTTGCTGAAGACAAATTCTAACCGGGATCCTTAGAAGTCTCGATCAGCATCACTCATTCCAACCATCAACTCTTCTCGTGTCATAATGGCATTTGACTGTGAACTGTAACAATCTCATTTCGTAAGCATACAGCTAAGATAAAACCATTGTTCATTTAATTATTACTCAGGGAGTCCAAGGTTGTCGGGGTTTAGATCATTCATCGATATTTAGGTCGAAAGTCATCCTGAAGAATGAAAACGTCTAGCCGTGAAGATCCGGTTGGACGTCTCAGACGTTCACAGTTTTGGAAAAACCACGGACATGGTTCCAACCAGCTTGGAAACATAGTATGAGATTAGAACTCATAATCCGTGCCGAGAAACATACGAACAGAAACCCCTCACATACTAAGTCAGAGAAACCTGCTCTTAAATCCTGACACAATGCTCCTAAATCCTGAGATAATGCTCTCCAATCCTCAGATCGAGACAACTCCCAGCCACAAGTGACGAAATGCCAATAAGATCAAAGGTCAGTTTTATGCCAATATTTTCATTCCATTTTTTCAAACATAACTGACTAATACCGAGATATGCGTCCGTTTTATGCGTCCGGTCTCTTGTAATTGCATCCTAATGCGGGGTTAACTGATAATGTGGTTGCAGACTTCGAAACATCAATATGCCAAAATATAATCTCTCCTGAACTAATTCGAAAAAATCACACACACCGGATTTGTTGCTTATTTGATTGTCTTCAATGTCCATATCTCCAGTATTATGAATCTCGTAAAAGCGGCAACTGCAGGTGAAATTAGGAAGCGATTTTCCCATGCTTATCTAATAATTCAAATGTTTGTCGTATTAGCTGATCATAAGTCAACAGCGGTACCGGGCCGTCTTAATTAGTGCGTGGCACTGCATAGCCCATGTCAACATCGCCCAGTTCCTTAGTGGCGAGAAGATGAAGATGAATGGGACCCCGGTGGGAACTTGACCAAAGGTAGGCTCTCTCCAAAGACCACGTGACCAGCCGAGACTGCTCGTGTTTGCATATAAAATCATATGAACATTAACGGGGAAGTGAAATTAAATAACAAAATTGACCTAAATGAAATTGATGAAATTAATCTCATGAACCGCGGCGAATTAATGCTGTGATTCCAGGTAGAGGTTTGTTTTAGATGCATGACGTCTTGTAAACATGGTAACGGCGCCCCGGATACGTATAACTGGGGGCTAACGGGGAACAGAATCTCAAATGTTCTCGCACCAGAGGATGAGCGATAGAAAGTTCGTCGAGTCGGCTTCTTTAAGTTTCGGAATTGATCGAATTTTGGGAAAATCCTTTGACGGAAGTACGGACAACGCCACCGACCATTGTCTGGAACCGTCAGTGAAAAATGGTGAGATAGCATTTAGAAAAACGTTGTTGTTCGGAAACTGTGTGGTGGTGTTACAAGATAATTTTGGAATTATTTGTTAATAATGTTACACATGATTTCAGGATTTTAAATAAACTACGGAAAACTGTAAGACTCTTATTATAAACTTTTTGAAATAGATGTAAACTAGCGGCATCTATACCATGATACCATTGATTAACAATATAGTTAGCGGGTTCTTAGGTATTGGGGGAGGTGGGATAGCCTAGTGGTTAAAGCGTTCGCTCGTCACGCCGATGACCCGAGTTCGATTCCCCACATGGGTACAATGTGTGAAGCCCATTTCCGGTGTCCCCCGCCGTGATATTGCTGGAATATTGCTAAAAGCGGCGTAAAACCATACTCACTCACTCTTAGGTATTGTGTTTGATGTACCTTTCTGAGATATGCGCTTTTATGAAGTTTTGTCGTATATTTTCAATGATTTATCTGTAAATGAAAAACAGTGCACCGTGTTGATCTCCACATGTTAAATGTGTTGTGTAATCGACGTAAGTGTAGAATTGGACCTTGTATTTTGCGTTTACTGCATCTGATGTTGGCCATTGTGCATATAGGTGATTTGTATACATGTATTAATGGAACAAAGTCCTGCCATTGCTGTATGTATTGGCCAGTCTATTGTATTTTATTTGCTGTACCTTCTAAACAATATTCCTGCACATTCTAAGAAATGATAGGAACATGCCAGGCAGATTCAACAAGCTTGTAGAGGTTTTCTGTAGATATGAAAGGCATTTGTAACCCTAACTTCCAAATTCACTGTCAAGAATTGCTTGACACACATATTCTTATTGATCTGCGAAAATTCTGATGTGTATGTTCGTTGTTCAGAAATACCCCAGCTTAATATAAGCGGACTGGGTCTGATGCCTTAACATATATTGTCAGCAAAGACCCACGCCGTCACTGTTACGATGGAGTAAAAATAAATCAAATCATTGGACACGATGTGGCTCTATTCTCACCTGAAATTATCTCGGAGAAGTCCAAAACTATGATAACAAGAGGTTGTTGAATTTAATGCTTAAATATTTTCGACGTAAGACAGCGGTGAAGGGATATATACTGAAACATATCATGCTATATTTGGGATTACACTTTCTTAATAAAGTACAAATTCTCGTACTTTTTGGATTGAGTCCCATCCGGGATTCGAACCCACACCCTCAGAGTCAGGCACCAAATCGCCAGCACACAAAGTCAGCCGCCTAACCCGCATAATTTACACTTATCAGAGGGGTACACAAAGTCCGCAGTCTAGAGACTACCAGTTGTCCGACTTTCAGTTTTGTGGAAGTCGCGGTGGCTGAGCGGGTTAGGCGGCTGACTTTGTGTGCTGGCGATTTGGTGCCTGACTCTGAGGGTGTGGGTTCGAATCCCGGATGGGACTCAATAAAAAAAGTACGAGAATTTGTACTTTACTAAGAAAGTGTAATCCCAAATATAACATATGTTGCATTTGACCACTTTCTAAAATGGCATTGTGTAAAGATATATGCTGAACATGAGCATGTTGACCCTTGATGCTATGTTTAGGAGATATCGGTAAAGACTGCAAACAAAATGTTAAGATCCATGATCACGGTATTGCAGAGAAGTTTCGGAAAATGGTTATATAGTTTGCGCAAATTTCCGCAATTGTCCCGCTGTGGACACGCCTCTGGGAAGTAGATGTAATTATGTAATTGTTCGTTGAGAGATTTCAAACAATGTCTTTGTCCGTGACTAAATGCCTAATGATTTTGTATAATTATAAATTATTACATTTGGAAGAAGATAAGAACCAGGCGTACCAGTTCAAGAATAATCCCATGTGGGAGAGACTGAGTAAATGAGTATGGTTTTACGCCGCTTTTAGCAATATTCCAGCAATTTAAGAACCAGGCGTACCAGTTCAAGAATAATCCCATGTGGGAGAGACTGAGTAAATGAGTATGGCTTTACGCCGCTTTTAGCAATATTCCACCAATTTCAAACCAGGGACACCATGAATGAGCTTCTGAAAATCGAGGCCGGTGACGAGCGCACGCTTTAACCACAATGCTATCCCACCGTCCCCTTCACGTTTGAGCAAACCCCGAAAGGATTGCTGATCTGGTAAAATCTACAAGCACGGGTATGGTTCTGACAGACCTTGAAACGCGGCGACCCGAGATTCGAACCTAACATCTGAATTTTTAAAATTACATTTCAATAACAAAGTGTCCTACTCATATTGCAATGCGAAATCATCTAATAAAATATTTTCATTGTACAAGTTATTTGAGTACACTTTCTGTTGCTTTCCTCAGGTTTGTTGGACTTGTGACCAACTGAAATAACATGACATAACAGAACAGTCCATTTGAAAAGCGCTAGTTCCATGCTCAATGTACACAGTTGAGAAAAATTCAGGGCAGAAAACATCTTGATCTTTTATCAAATCTTCATTTATCGGAGGACATTGATCAAAATGAGATGAATCCATATGCATATATACTCATGCCAATAATGGTTGTCACCCCTTTCAATTGTTTTAATTGGAGAGGGTGTGTGGGGTGGGTGTGTGAGATGTGTGCGGGGTTGGGGTGGGGAGGGGGATGACAACCATTATTGGCATGTGTATAAATTGGCATGTGTCCGAAAGATATAATACAGGTTTGTTAAAGATGCTGAAATTATTGCATACAAACACATCCTCAATGCGGGGAATCCCATGACAGGAAGGGTAGGGTCTGACGTATGAGCAAAATTTTAGAACATTGCCGAAAGTATCCGGTCGTACCCTGATCGCATTGGTGCTGTTTCTCTTTGGTATTCCTGCTCAGTATTCAGATATTTAAGTACAGCTGTTCTGCTGTCTACTGCGCCTTGAAACAACAATCCTTCACTCGCAGATACATCAGCGTTGAACGTTGCTGCCGCGGATGATGGTCCGCCGCTCACCCAGCACCGCGCCCGGATGAGGACCAACTTCAGCGCGTGGCAGTTGGAGGAGCTGGAGCGAGCGTTCCGGGTGACACACTACCCCGATATCTTCATGCGTGAAGCCCTGGCGTACAGAATGGAGCTGACAGAGGCTAGAGTGCAGGTCAGTACACAGTACAGGATCACAAAACCATGATAATTCGTATGGCTACGTTCCTCACTTGAGACCGTAGAGTGACTGTTGTAATGGGAGTGTGATATGGTGCATATAAATTGCTGCGGTGAAACGAGAAATGTGCTTTAAGCATTGTACCCGTAATGGAAATATAACCCGGGCTTTCAGCGTGAACGTTTTAAACCCTCGGCTATCATTCCTGCTTTGTGTCGGCAAATAATCACAACGGACAAAGGGAACTATTGCTTACATAAATACATATCTACAAAATTGTTTCTGAATAACCTGACGTTGAGTCGAATTCACCGTCATTATTGTTGTCGTTTTAATAATTATGAGTGAGTGAGTGAGTTTAGTTTTACGCCGCTTTTAGCAATATTCCAGCATAATAGGGCGGGGGACACCAGAAATGGGCTTCACACATTGTACCCACGTGGGGAATCGAACCCGGGTCTTCGGCGTGACGAGCGAACGCTTTAACCACTAGGCTAATAATTATGATGTCTCTCGTTTTGTTATTTGACTCAACCACCAGCTGATCATCTTGCAGGTCTGGTTCCAAAACCGCCGAGCAAAGTGGAGGAAACAACAGAGGTCATCGGGCTGCCGGGAGCTTGGATGTTGTGATCATCACGCCAGTGACAGCTCAAACTCCACCACAGCGCCAGGGAAGACTTCCAGCCCGTACTTACAGGTCATGCCTCCTGTTCTCAATTCACCAGAATCATTGCAGCGCATCCCTAACACAGTGTTTGGAGCTTGGCCTTTCTCCAGAGAGGTACAGTTGCGATGCAGTATATCTTCGCTGAGAGAGAAAGCAAGGCACTTCTACACCAACGTCAGCAGCAATGGACACTTTTCATATAACCCATTCCAGTGAGCAAGAGCGAAGGACCACACCGTCAAATAGCACCAGCGACAGAGGATGGAATGAACACTTCAGAAGGACGTTTTACATAGTTTGGTTTCTGAATTACCTCGCTTTAAACAACAAACCATAAACCATAACGCTGTCCTGTGATCTTTGGCCTACATTGTTCATTGTACTACTTATCTGAAAACATACCAAATAGAATGATTCTATTATTAGCTGGCCATTGGCCTGGTCACCTTGGGGATGTCTTTCGGACCCTCTGAACTGACGATTGGATGGTCACAGTGTTTAATCTGCCTGATTACTCATTGTCGGCGTCGTGGATAAGCATCCATGGTATCAGCCATGAATGGTCGGACTCGATTTCGCATGGGTCTCCGCCATACAGATGGTAGATGTTGACTGTGAACCTGCCAGGTTGAGGTGAAATGGTTTAAAGATCATTGTCCAAGATCGTCTCCAAGTTTACTACACTCAGACAGCGACATGCATGCACATGTGTATGTGTGTGTTTTGTGTACTTTACACGCTCCTATCGGTTTTGCAGTGCTAGCTAACTGACTCTAAACCACCAGTTCTTAATTTATTCCTTCAGTGCAGAGAGCCAGGAAGGATAGCTAAAGTACCACCTTTTTGCATACATCGGTATGACGAGGCTGTGTCAGATCAACCAATATGTTCTAAGTAATGGCCTTCATAAATGTAGATGGTCTCGATAACAAATACTTGGGCTTGACGAAGGGGATCCCGGAGTACTGGGTATTCTAAACTGCAGAAAATTCAAAACGCAGCAGCTCGTGTGGTCTCTCGAACCCATCGCCATGACCATATATCGCCAGTTCTGAAATCCCTTCACTGGCTTCCAGTAAAGTACAGGATCTACTTCAAGATTCTGCTACTGACTCATAACTGCCTCTACGATGACCAGTCCTGTGACTACCTTCGCCAGCTTGTACATCTGCATGTACCCACCAGAGCTCTTAGATCAATAGATACGTTAAGACTAACACAGCCAAGCACGAAAACATCCATGGGTGATAGAGCCTTTTCTGTAGCAGCACCAGCTCTATGGAACAATCTTCCAGTCACCCTCAGAGTCCCAGTCACTTTTCAAGAACTTGCTCAAAACCTACTTCTTCAAGTCGGCTTCTGAATAGAACTCTTTTCACACTTATTGTGTTTTTAACGATGTATGCAGCGCCGTTGAGCATCTGTGATGGAAACTAGGCGCTATACAAGCCAATTATTATTATTATTATTATGTCCTTAGCTAACTTACGGGAGAGTGAGCTGGGACACATGTACAAGTTTCAGGTGAGTTCCTGTTCACAAGTACACTTGGTCTTCAACGTTAAGCCTGTAGTTCTTAGCACCTTGATCATAAATCAAATGGTGCCACCGCATCAATGTATACAAGTGAATAAACAATTTTATAACAGTAGCCAATATTTTTATATTTATAGATTATGTAACTAAAGTGACATACAAAAAGTGTAAAGTGTATACCCGGTGTTTGGGGGGAAATTTCCTACAAACGACGGTAATATTTTGAAAGTTGTCTTGATTGTTACCGAAACAACGCATCTTTTTATCTATTTTGACCTTGAGCAGAATTGTTTTCTGCAATTCGGTTTGAAATCAACGGAGTCAAAGGTTATACCAAATCCTGTATTAACTGTTCACTTGAATTAACAGGTGAAACTTTCAAGCAGGTAGTTTTGTTCCACTAATGATTAATTTACCGCTACCAGTCGAAGTATCTATATGCCATGAAATTTAAGTACACTGCCGGTCTTACACTGTACACTGTTAGAATTTCCTCATGTTTATGCCGTGTACCTGAATGGGTTCTGTAGTTCGCAGCATCAAACTTCGGAGCTTTACAAGACTTGGACACCAGCAGAGTATAGACAAAGACTGGCTGCAGTAACATGGGGACCATTTCCGTTGTCTTGTGGATAGTCACCAGAGCGGAAGCTCGGTTGCTCGATCTCCAGTCGTGTCACCAAAAGAGTTGTTACTTGTTGTTTCCCTGCCTTCCCTGCGCTCGGCGATAAATGTATAATACTGGTCAGAGACATATATCATCTGAATGGGGTTGCGTGTGGCACCATATCCCAGTCTAAAAACCAGTATTAGTCATGACTAATTGAATCAGACAGACAGACGCACACACGTACGCATGCATCACATACAGTACGTGAAAACACGCTTTTTTCGATAACAAAATATCGATATCTATATATTCATCATTTGTAAAGTGTAACTACTTTCATTAAGTTCATGATAAGGAGTATTGTGCTAAAAACCACGAATCATAATCTGGGTGATTCGAACTGAGGACGTTCATTACAAATAATGGTAGAGCAACGTAATTCCTTCACAATGATAGGAACACATATGTTATGTACAATCTCTACTTTGTATATGTGTAAGAGTATCACAGTAATTAGTAAACGTCAATCGTACACAACGTGTTCCCGGTGTAAGTTGCTGTGCTACAGTTATCGCGAACACTGGAGTCACAACTCATTTTCAGGGAGATGGGGTAGCCTAGTGGTTAAAGCGCTGGCTCGTCACGCCAGACCCAGGTTCGATTCCCCACATGGGTACAATGCGTGAAGGCCAATTCCGGCGTCCCCGCTGTGATATTGCTGGAATATTGCTAATACGCGGCGTAAAACTAAACTCACTCACTCACAACTCATTTTCTTTGATCCATTCATATAATTTGTACCTCTTTGTTATTTTTACGGCTTCGTTGGATAATAAAGGCCGTTAATTCTTTTGGCTTGACGCCATATTTATACACCAACTGCTCGACGAAAATATGAAAATGGTTTATTTTTGTCTTCTGTACACTGCGACCAGTTTGACTGCATCCAGTTATGTACACATCTTATACATGATGTTATCATATCACACTGTTTCGGGTAAACATCAACAACAACAAACAACAGTGTGGATATGATTGATAACGATCAGACATGACTTTCCATCGGTCAACAATTGACATGCGTGATATAATAATGTTCAAATGTAAACAATAACATGTTAAAAATACCAATGTCACAATACTGCTCTTGCGTAATCTGAATACTGCTTGGTAATTATTATATTGCACAAAATCTCACAAGAAGGTCATACAAGTAGTCTCTTTAGATTTTCATCTTTATGTACCATGTACAATGTTCATTCCTTTGCATAATTTTGTACCTACAGATGAAGAACATTACTATGATTCCATTCTTTCATTGGTTGATAAATTACACCATACAATTAAAAGTACACCAGCATTTTAGTTTCATGAGAAACCTGTCCGTCGACAAAGCGCCTTGATCGGCTTGTTTTGAATGTTAAATCATACTTAATATGCTTCACATTGTTTTATAATTCCGATGAAAATCTTATAATAAACTGTTTATTATTATTTTTTGTCTGCTGATCAACAGCATAGAACGTAAATACACATTAGTCTATGAATAACGAATCACATAAATATAAATGTAAAATTATGCAATAATATAATTATGACAGTTTTATTTGATGACGATGACAGCAACATGTACGTGTATATTAACGATGGGCTGTTGATGAAGGCAGGTAACCAGACACGTATTCGTCCTATTTTCCAAACATAAAACTTCTAGAAAACAAACGGGGTTTAGAATATCCCAAGACTGATACAGCAAACAATGCGTTGATGTAGATCGGTAAATGGTCTGGAAATCCACGCGAGTACTTATACTCATTTGCGTGAGAATTCACAATCAAGGATATTCTGTCATCGAGGCACAGCCTGATATTGTCATAACAAAATATCATCATAGCAAAGCAAGTCCAACAAACAACAGGTTATATATGGAGGCACATGTACAACGTACAAAAGAGTTAAACAAAGCAAAGTATATAAAGCTGTAGTCGTGAAGCTTCACAGAATGTATTCCTTCACGAGTGTCTCTGCTGTCTTCATTTCAGTTCACTGATCAAAGCCACTTCTCAAATATCTGTCGATTCCATGTCTTTGACGTTTCCTAATCTTCAGTTGTTGCTGAAGCTTCTTAGAGTGTATTCTTTCACGAGTGTCTCTGTGGTCTTCAATTCAGTTCACTGATCAGAGACACGTCTCAAATATCTGTCGATTCTAGGTTATCCACGTCTCCTAAATCTTGGTCTCTTTTCATCATCAGTTTTCCGTTTGTTCTCGAATTCCCTTGTTCCGAGCTGGAGCTTGCAGAATCTTCCATGTCGTGTCCCCTTGTCCCCATTTCCTCGTCGATGAAGTCGTATTGACGCAGCACCTCGCCAAGAGCGTTGTTGCCGTACCGGATCTGTTGTTTCTCGTCGAAGAAGTTGACTGTGAACTCCTGTTCATCGTCCTTCTTCGCGGTATTACCGTCGAGGACCATGTTGTTGTCCAGTGAGTCACCTGAGACAATGCTGGGAAGAGAAACGTTTCATCAATATGACTGCATCATGACTTGAGTCATCTGGTCGCATTCATTACTGGTTACACGTAAAACACGAAGTGAATCACTATGTTGGGCTCAATGCTCAATCTCCCTTTTTCATAAACGTAAAATGCCATGCTGTCATGAGTATGACCTGCCCAGACAGTTCCACAAAACTACTGAATAACTGAATAATATATCTAACAATGGCAAACATCACAACCAAGTTACTCAAATCTTTGACAGAGGACTTTATAACTCCTTACTTTTAAAAAGAAGCAACTTTTGAAAGTAAGAGATCCCTTTTCTATAGCATTTTCCTCTGAGCATAAAGACATCCAATATACCTGTGGTGGCGGCTACGTTTGTGGACAAAGGGTCACTCATCACACTGAATGTCTAGCGTCCATTGGCCTCGATGAGAAACAAGTATACAGCCCATTTCTGGAGTCCACAGCTTTGGAGCAATGTGAAATGCGGCGTTGAGCCTTACTCGCTCTCCTCCCATCCATTCACTTATAAACTTGTCACCCACCCTTACTCGCACTTCGTTCTGTGCCCACTGTACATCAACACTCACCTTGTCGAGTCCATCTCCTCCTGCATGGCGATGTCTTTATTGAACAGAGGATTGAAGCTGGAAGAAAGCAATAGCTTGCGACATCAGTAACGACATACTTTTGTGTTCTTTTACACCCAACTCAGAAATAGTCAGCTACACGATTGCGGCCTGTATGTAAACGAATCTGGACCAGACAATACTGTGATTGATATTATGACCAACGCTGCACGCTGGAGGTGTACGTGTTCGAGGAGACAACAGCTCTTCTATCCCGAACGGCCGATCCATGATGTTGCAACGAACAGCATTGGGAATGCAGCCCATATCTAATAGTTCAAACCTTGTCTCTTTACCACAAACACACACACACAAACACACACACACACACACACACACCATTTACATACAGGTGTGACTTGTATAGTTCCGGGTTACAACTGATATTCAGCCCCCGATAATTGTCGCAAGAGGAAACAAACTTGATCGGACTCGCTGACATGGTTGATGTTTGTCATCGTCTCTCATATGCTTAAAAAGATGGTCATGATGTCAATCACTGGATTGTCTGGTCCGTACTCGGATATTTACCGTACCCTTTACGAGGACAAAGTTAGCCAGCCAGGCTTTTTCTGTTGTGGCTCCAACTTTGTGGAATAGCCTACCAACATATATTAAATCTGCGGACTCTGTCCAGTCATTCCGCCGTGACTTGAAAACCCATCTCCTCAACCAATAACTCTGTTTATTTTATTCTTATTTTTAACCTTGTGAAGAGCCACTGAGCAGCCACCGGTTGGAAATTAGGTGCTATACAAGTGCATTATTATTATTATTATTATTATATTTCTAGAAGGCTGTCAGAAAGCTTGGATATGGCTGGGTGCGGCGTTAAACAACAAACAAATAAAACCAAAACATGCAGGCGTTTGGATGCTGATTACGTCTTGGGAAACATAAGTCTCCATTATCCAAAGGTTTGTTTGATAATGTTTTATCACGTATAACTGCATACATTAATCACGTAACACTTACTTTACATTGCCCGTCTCTTCTGTTTCTTCATGCTTTGGACCTGAAACATCAAATACAAGGATGGAATAGATATTGTGAACTCGATTCTACGCATACAATTAGTAATAATCATTCCCCGCTGCCTACATTGTTTGTTATATCCGTGGTCTTAAAATAGTGAGTGAGTGAGTGAGTTTAGTTTTACGCCGCACTCAGCAATATTCCAGCTATGCGGCAGCGGTCTTTAAATAATCGAGTGTGGACCAGACAATCCAGTGATTGAGAGTATGAGCATCAGTCTACACAATTGGGATACGATGACATGTGTCTACCAAGTCAGCGAGCCTGACCACCCGATCCAGTTAGTCGCCTCTTTCGACAAGCATTGGTTGCTGAAGATCAATTCTAGCCCGGATCTTCACGGGTTCTTAAAATAGAAGCTGACGCAATCATGTATTTATCTGCACGTCAGTATGTGTTCGAACAGTTGAAACATGATAATGGCTTGTTCTCTGTCAGTATGTGAACCCGATACTAGCCCTGACCTTGAATATGTGCATTGTGCTTGGCAACATAAACCCAGTACAAATCCCAGATCAGCTATGTAACATAGCATGAGGTGAGCGTACTATAATTGCTTTTAGCAATATTCCAGCAATATCACGGCGGGGGACACAAGAAATGGGATTCACACATTGTACCCATGTGGGAAATCGAACCCGGGTCTTTGGCGTGACGAACGAACGCTTTAACCACTAGGCTACCCCATCGCCCTAACATAGCATGGAGATACTCCAGCTTATATGCACGAAACGAGAAAATAGTACATTCCTCTGCGTGTAATAAGAATAGGACACCGGTGTTCAAGATCGGAATAGGGAGCCTAGGTTGTTAGCCTAGATGGGTGGACGGATAAGGTCACAAAGGGCATTCTTTGTAATGTATTGGACATGACATGACATGACATGACATGTTTCAGCACGATGGATCCAAGGCTTTCTCTTATCATAAACGCCGAAGGACAAAATCGCAAGGAATTATTTCGTTTTATAGCAGTATCATTTGATTTAGCTGACCGATTTGTAACTGTGGATACATCCTGGATCCACTACCGTCAGCCATCAGTATTGAACATCCTCGGTATTCAAAGATTTGGGACGGTCATCTGTCCAACTCCTTATAAGCTTCACAGCAGTTTGTTTACTGTCTAGGAGGACCACTTCTCCACCAAGAGGAACCAAACACTACAGCATGTGTGGACATCGAAAAGATTATGATAAAAAATCATTTCCGATCAACTCCATCACCACTGTCCATACCATAGTTTAGCTCAGAGCTTTTATCCTTCCCTTGTCTGTTATGATAATGAATCTGATATTTACTGAAAAAAGCATCAATGCATTACCTTTCACATCAATCGTCGCTGCCTTTAATTTCCGCCTATATCTATAAAACAAAACAAACTATGACACAATCAGTTCCCAAACATGTTCATTACAGCGGGACGAACTTTCTTTCTCATCCAGACAGAGGAAAATATGGGAACATTTGACCTTTCAGTGCAAACTTCTATATTGAGCCGAAAGGATAGCTCAAAAGTAATACATTAAACGTCAGTGCAATGGAATACCCTGTCTTGACTATCCTCAGAAACAGTCAGTCTTCAACTACCCTACCACAGGAACCCGTTATCCCTATGTAGGTTACACATGGACCATAGATCTACACACAAGTCATATATAAATACCCTATTTATACATATGACGTGTGTGTGGATCTATGGTCTACGTTTAACCTACATAGGGATAGCGGGTTCCTGTGTACCCACCCACACCTGACCTGATCCATTGCCTCGACTGTTTTCTCTGTTAATTTCCTTTCAAGTCAAAACATAAATACAGTACAAATGAACAGCCAGTTCTGAATATATCAGAGCTACAGATAACGTTTTCGGTCATTCAGATATGTACTCACATGTGTTCATCTCAGTTGGGTATCCTAATTTTCCTTTGAGTAACCAAATTAATTGTACTCACCTGACTCAAACTCAATTGGGTATTTTGTCATTTTCCATTTATGTAAAAAATATAATAAGGTTTGTGTATGTGTTTTTATCTGTATTATCAGAAACTGCAAGTTGTCAAGTTCATGTCCTCTCAGTATACCTCGGTTATGTTATCTATCCACCGGTACGCCAGCTAAGATTGGTCATTTTTGTGTGTACGCATATACGACCACATTTATTGAGTATTTACAAAAATTCAAGCGTACTTGTACACCATAGACTTTATAGGAATTGAATTTTCAAAGAAATATTTGCGTAATTTGCAGATACGCAGCTTATCTGTACCTCTGATATATACAACAAATTTAATTGGGTGTAAAGGGCAACACAGATGTGCACATTGTATGAATGGACAACTAGCTGAATTACAGTGAAGATACTAGGTGTTCGCTAAAAAGGACAAGTATCTCCTAAAGGTAGCACCCGACATTCAGACATTTGCTTAAAAAACTAAGTATCAACCGTCCGACGCCGGACGCAGTCCTCTCACTATGCGACAGCGGCCTGCAAACAAACCAGACAGTCAAGCGATCGATGAACAAGAATAAACAGTTTTGAATTACCAGGACTGTTAGAAGTTCCGAGATTCCTCTGCTGCTACGCCTCACAATTTCTGAGGGATCTTAGTACGAAGGTTTCAAAGGGTGTCAAACAAAATTATTTCGATACCTTCACAAGTTATTTATAGGGGGCGCAACATTCAAGTCCTCAGTCAAGTGTTTAATGATTTATGGTGTACAGGTGACCTGTTGCATAGATTTGATATGCAAATGAATACTGACCTCTGGATCCTGTTACAGGAGATGTAGATTAGGAGGAGCAGGGTGAAACTCAGGAGGCAGACGACTGAGATGAGGATGTACATTCGTCTCTCGCTGTCGTCGCGCTTAGCAACGCTAGCATCGGCTTCCTGTCAGAGGAAGAAAGTCAGAAACAGGGCTGCAACGATACACCCAGACCTCGATTCGACTTTCGATATTGGACCCTCGATTCGATCATTTTCGATTCGATTCCTCTTACAATGAAAACATCAGATTTCATTTAACTCTAAGCGTCGGCTTTTTAGCGTGAAATCCACCGTCAACTTGGCGATGTCTACTAACAACAATTCTCATTGGATAATTAGCCCGATCAACCAATCACGTTTCGCCTTTTTCCAGCGCTCGAAACTGCTCGAGTTGGAGTCAAAATTACGTTCTCGCTGTGTGGAAATAGTTTGAATAGGTATTCAAATATCGATTCGAAATAGTGATAATGGTTATCGAAAATCGAAATAAAGGCGTCAGATTCGATTTTCGATGAATAGAACCGAATCGTTGCAGCCCGTGTCCCAAATGCAAAATGTATCCGTGTAGAGCCTTAGAATATGGTCACATAATTGCAGCTTTACATGTCCCTTTACTCAGCATACGAATCTGACTTGTCTTGGTCTTACACATAAACACCATAGCATGTTCCTTTTAAAATTAATTTATAGATATGTATTTGTGGTGAATAGGTGTTAACTAAGCCAAGTGGAACCCAGAGCGTTGGTCACTAGCTTGGTGTACACATGTCATTATACCCCAGAAGATCCGGGTTAGAATTGGTCTTCAGCAACCCATGCTTGTCGTAAGAGGCGACTAACGGGATCGGGTGGTCAGGCTTGCTGACTTGGTTGACGCATGGCATCGAATCCCAATTGCGTAGGTCGGTGCGCATGATTTTAATCACTGGATTGTCCGGTCCTGATTATTTACCCATCGCTGCAATATAGCTGGAATATTGCTGAGTGCGGCGTAAAACTATTCTCACTCACTCACACATGTCCTTATAATTACAGAATTTTATACATATGTTTAAGATTAACACAGGTTATAGATATCTCACCCCAATTTGTGTTACTTTGTACTTGTTAATGAGTTTGGATCCAAGAGCTTGATTTCTGTCGATAATCCTGTGAACAAAAATAGACGATGTAGGTGTGACCCCAACGCACTTCATGAACCACATCAGTCAATCAATATGATAAAAACCAGTTATACATGATGTTCCTCTTACTGCAACTGTTCATCATGACGCATTACAAGTGTTCAGCAAAAGTTATCACCACTGACGATTATTAATCATCACAATGATCAATTATCATTGCTACAGTTCTTTTCCACGGAGTTCTTAGTCTCCAAGGGCGCTGCGGTAGCCTAGTGGTTAAAGCGTTCGCTCGTCACGCCAAAGACCCAGGTTCGATTCCCCACATGGGAACAATGTGTGAAACCCATTTCTGGTGTCCCCCGCCGAGATATTGCTGGAATATTGCTAAAAGAGGCGTAAAACCAAAGTCACCCATCTTAGTCTTCAGATCCGATGTACTCTCGTGTCTGCAAGTCTCCTGCATGCAATATTTCTGGACACTCACTGTCAACTATACGTACTAAAAACACTTCTCTTCTGCATACGGTATTTCTCCAGTTTCAGGTGCCACTGCACAGACTGACCTTCCAGTTAGTGATAAATACCGTATTTTCCCTTTTCAGAGCCCCAGTCCATTACTAACCGTTTAGTCAGCTTTGTAACGACTGCTTCTTGAGTTTCGGGATCTACTGTTCACACTAACCTTCCAGTCCGTATTGCAGTCGGTATTTTTTTAGCTATAGGTTTGACCTTCCAGACTCTTCTGCAAGAATCAGTCTAATAGTTCACACTAAAATGTTAGGAGCTCGCTTCCATTGTTTTGCCTGCATCTTTGTTGTCTTATTACTTTTGTCGTTCTTACATGTACATATATATATGCTCTCTGTCTTATACCATTCATTCACCTAATGGAGTAAGGATATACTCCGAAACGTTGCGTTCCTCATAATAAAGAAGCAGACATCCATAAAAATCCTCTTCCTTATGTGTATCACTTCTAAATGCCATTCGGGGCCGTGGGGTAGCCTAATGGTTAAAGCGTTGGCTCGTCACGCCGAAGACCTGGGTTCGAATCCCCACATGGGCACAATGTGTTAAGCCCATTTCTGGTGTCCCCCGCCGTGATGTTGCTGGAATATTGCTAAGATCGGCGTAAAACCAAACTCAGTCAGTCAGTCAGTCTTAATGCCATTCAAAGACCTACCGTCTAGTGTTTTCTGCATCCAGTATTTTACCAGTCACAGGATCTACTGCATGTACAAACATGTCCGAGCTGGAAGTAAAATGTAACAGTAAGCACTAGAACTGTTCCAACATGCATCATGGTGTTGATTGTTTCATCAGAGAGCAAAACGTCTTTAGCATAAGTATCGAACGTACTTTATCTTGGTTCGTCCTTCAAAAACATGATTCACCATATGAAATATTTAGATGACAGAAATATTTTCAAACATTACTAAATTTCATGACAGTAACGCCTCATTTTAGTCACATGATAATCCAAATTCCGCTTAGAAATTTGAACTGAATTTATTACGCGAGCCCAGTTTTACTCACTGGTAGGGCTGTATATTTCCATCCGCGTCAAGGTGAGACGCAACGTCGTCATTGGTGAGAAACGTATATCCTGTGGCGTTGCTCATATCTCTGGCAAAACAATGAAAACAATTAATAAGCAGCAGTTCTGCGTCATGAAAACAGACCGCAGGTCCTACTTCCAAAAACGTTTGACATTAAAGTCTTGGTTTTGGTGTTGGTCGGGGTTAGAGTTAGGATTGGGATTAGGGTTGGGGTTAGGATCACTATCAGTATTTTACGTTCATTATTCATCAACATGAGGGGCGTCTGGGTAGCTTAGTGGTTAAAGCGTTCGCTCGTCAGGCTTACGATCCGGGTTCGATTCCCTACATGGGTACAATGTGTGGAGCCCATCCCCGCCGTGATATTGTGGAATATTGTAAAGCAGCGTAAAATCAAACTCACTCACTCATCAACATGACAACACCGGATATCATAAAATGTAAGCTACAAGGAGTAACTGATTCCGCCAAGAACGAATTAAACTAAATTTTCAAGAATTATAACATCACAGCTAAACCTACCTTGAACCCTTTTGGATGATTTTTTTCTTTGAACAATCTTGTACAACCAAATACAGGTATTGCGTTTTAGCAACAATGGTTACATTATTAATAGACTTCTCTTAATGTACTAATTCTCCTACCTCAAGACGTCATCCTGTATCCTTAATACGTCATCGATACTTTGCAGGAATGTGATTTTCAAAACTTGGAAGTCAGCAATGATGAAAATCTGGAAACAGTAACCTGTGAGTGAGCTGGGCTCCAAACCACGATCAATAATCATACCATTTTGGCATCTTACACTTTCAGGACAGTTGGACTAATGCTGTTGTTATACCTCTGTTAATGAAATTGGTGTCCAACAAGCACGGGCAGATGATGAAGTCGAAGGATCCTAATTTGGCAAATTTGAGATTGGAACCAGAACTAGCGGTTACGAAAAGCTATGGAATAGGAATAATTTTTACGTATTACATAGCAACCAGTTTCACAACCAGAGGCAAAAGTGATGACTCAATGCTGCTCTTTAAAGCACACGTCCTTTGCTTTTAGCTCAGTCACCACATTCTGTAAATAAGTGTGTCTGGACCACGAAGATGAATGGTTGATAGCTATCTGAGAGGCACTCTAGAAGTTGTAAGTAATAGGAATGACAAGTCTTTATGGATGATCAACTTCTATATTATACAATACTATAGATACTTAGACCGTGTTCAACATGGCATGGAGACGTGGCAATGCGGACCATCAACCGCCTGGAGAAGAAGTACATCCAATCCAGAGAACCACCTCACCTTCCTCATGAGATGCTTCAACCTCAACATCGTCCCCAAGGGCATACAACATGCTTGAAAACGGTGTAAGTATCTATACCGAAATTTCGTTATTGTATAATAAAGAAGTTGATCATCCATAAAGTCATTCCTATGGTTGAAAGCAACGGGTTAGACGATACATATTTAGTCAGGACACATTGTTATTACATGTATCTACCCTAACACTGACTAGAGTGTCCTTACAAGTATGAGGTGTGAGTGTATGAGGTCCTGAGTATGGTGTTACACATTGACTGCTTTTGACAATTTTCAAAGTCATGCTGATCACATGTCCGAAATTAACTACCTCACAGCCTTCATGAGCCATCGAACCTATGCAGGTCATCGCGTGCTGTGAAGTCATCAACCTGCTTCGGCAATACAGAGTTAATATTGTATCTTGGGAGAGATTACAGTTTACCTAAGGCGAAAAACATGCATAATGAAATATACGCCAGAAAACATTTCCATTTTCATGATATAGCGTCGATGTACGATTCCGACTATTAATGGGCATGGACCTATTCAGCACAGTCGAATTATTCGTGTTAAAGAAACTATATCACACAACACTTCTCTAAATAATAAATAATGCATTTCTCTCAATAATACTATTTGAGCCCAGGGAAGCTACACTATAATCTATTCCAAAATAATTACGTATTTAGATTACAATATTATATTAAAAAGTTCGAATGAAGGAATGCAACGTTGCATTAAATCGACTCTCGCGCCCTCTACCGACCGAACATTATTTCAAGCGAACTCCATAGAGTTATTTCCCTTGGAGCTCTCTACGTGAATATCCTACGCAGAACTTGAGATTAAAACCTGCTCGGCAAACACCGACAACACCGCGTGTGACAGTTTTTGATGTACGGAGCAATTGTTTACATTCCACATATGGCAAGTGTTATCAGTTTGGAAGCTGTTCGCCTCGAAGTTTCAATTATCTATTTCAGGCAAGTCGTAAGGGATAATAAATCTTTTATAGCATCATTAGGAAGCTAAAGTGAATGCACATGCCCCAATATCTATAATATATGACAAAATAGTGTCGAAAGTATGTCCTACATAATGCCTTTAAAGCATCTGTTCGGGAAAATGTGAGCGTATCCTGTCCCTCCGTTGATATCTATCACAAACACATGCAAAGCCAGGTCAATACATTAACCTACAAAACATGGGCACGTATGGTAAATCGAAAAGGGGTATTGCATCGGACATAATTTTTGTCATATTTGGAAACTTACCTTTAGTTCCGCCATATCCATCCCCGCGCTGTCGTTGACGGCCACCTTCATGTTGAAGAATCCGTACATATTAGCCGAGAACGACATATTGGTGGCAACTGTACCGTTTTCTGTCAGAGAGATGGGGATAGGGTGTTTCTCGGGGTTAAATGTGTTCAAGAGGGTAGGGTCTGCTTCTGTTGCGTTGACTCTGTAGAAGGCATGGCGGCTAAATTTGGGGCTGTCACGATCGTAAACCAATGTCTGTAAAACAAAAAGTCTTCATTACATTAAGAGCTTATATTATCAGTCTATAGTTTTAAAATCTTTCGTCTGAAAATAAATGTCAGTATAAATGAAATATGAAATATACCTCCAAATATTTTTTTTGTTTTGCACACGGTCGTTGGCATGTAAAAATATAAAATTCTCAAGGTATCAATAGTGAAATTAGACAGAAAAATTATAATTGTGTTAATCAAACTGACTCACTGTATGTCGAACACAAATTTCCAATTTGGAAGGCTTATAGGTATAATTTGTATTTTAATGCCTTTTAATTCCACTGTACCGCTCCTGCCTTGCACTGATGCACAATGCCAGTATCAGAAAGAGTATTGCTTAAACACTAAACACGTTACAACCCGTAAAGATCCTGGTTAGAACTGATCTCAAGCCACCCATGCTTGTCTTAACAGGCGAATAACGGGATCGGGAGGCCAGGGTGACATATGTCATCAATCCCAATTGCGTAGATCGATGGTCATGCTGTTGATCACTGGATTGTCTGGTCCAAACTAGATTATTTGCAGACCGCCGCCATATACCTGTAATATTGCTGAGTGCGACTCTCATAGTGAGTGAGGTGAGTGAGTATGGTTTTACGCCGCTTTTAGCAACATTCAAGCAATATCAAGGCGGTTGACCTCAGAAAGTGGCTTCAAACACCCAGGTGGCTTGCAATCAAAGTCCGGAATCGAACCCGGGTCTTTGGCATGACCAGCGAACGCGTTAAACACTAGACTGCCCCACCGCCCTCCTGACTCTCATAACTTACATCCAGTTCAAAAATGATTCGTCCCAAAGTCACTGTATTTCGTATTCCCTTTGACAATACTGGCTGGCGGTACACAGGTGGGTTGTCATTCTTATCCAGGATTGTAATTGTTGTTATGAGACTGGACGGTGTTACGGTTGTGGAGTTCAAACTAGAATTGTCACACAGCTGGCTGTAGAAAGACGGTGAACAGTCCGTGGCTGTGATTTTCACAGTGAAGGAAGTGACGTTTTCTCTGTCGAACGATTGAACCACATCTAGGTACAGTGTTCTGTTGTCCGTTGATGGCATCATCTTCAGATTAACAATGTAAATCGAGTCTGTAAAAGTAAATACATAATATTTATGTCTATAGTCGTTTGGATGTGTCCCTATATGTATTGATTATGTCGTAGTTATTCACAAATCATATGGGTTTCTCAAACGATGCGGACGTTCAAGACCATAAATTCCAAACTTCCGACCCATCCTAGACAAACACACACACATGTATACTTATATAAGTGAATATTTTAAGAAGGTATAAAATACATATCCGTCAAGACTATAATATGCGGAACACGTATCACGCAATGCAACATGAATAGATTGCAAACTTGTATTGTTAAACCCCCATCACCTATCATTAGCCTTCAGATAAATGGGAAGACTTGTGTAATAGTCAATGAAACCGTTTTACCGAGTGTCTGAATCCATCATGCCCTGTCCAAGACGGGTAGTATGGACGACCTTGACGCTTTGCTACATTTGACATTGCAACTCACTTGGAAAATTCAACCATTATTTGCACAAAACGTTCTTTTGGTCAAACGTTTTTGAGAATATGCTACTTTTTATCTGTGAAGTTGAAATTCAACCTAAGGATGTATTCGAAACGGTGGTATTATTTAATATCGCAAGTTCCTTAAAACATGAAGAGAAGAGTTATGTCCCTTTGAATATCGTTCGATAACGTTTGTTCGCGACAACAATCATGGCGAAACACGCGTTCCACGCTGAGGCATAAATAGAAGAGAACGGATAGAGAGTGTTCCCCACATTACTAGAACCTGATGCATAAGAAATCCAATTTAATGAAGTCGTTACACGTCCATTTGCGGTATATACGGATACTAACATGTCGTACCATTCCACGCTACCTGGCAAGTGGTCGTGTAACTAATACGATGCGAGCATTACGACAATTAAGTTACGTATTGTACAAACGATACACTATATTAATCTCTGAATATATACAATTGTGATCGAAACAAATAATCCCATATAAATTAAAAAGGTGGCGAAGTGAGATGGGAGATCGAACCTGGAGAAAATCAAGACTTGCTTTATTTCGGGCTCCGCATTGCTGAAAGTCCTGGGCCTCGTTTCTCAAAGCTCTCGTAAGCCTAAGATCTCGTAACTTTTCTCGTAGCATTATTACCTCCTATGTTACAGTATAGGAGATTCGAATGCTACTAGAAAAGTTACGAGATCTTAGGCTTACGAGAGCTTTATGAAACGAGGCCCTGGACGGAAGAGAACTATAACGTGGTTCAACCACTGTGGGACTACCCCATGCGCATCCTACAAATGTAAGACTTTCGAGCTTAATACGAAGCCTGCCATTCTAAATACCGGGCAAAAGAAAGTTTTTAACATATGCTTGATGGTGACTGAAAAATACAAAGATGATCCGGTAATTCGATTATGTATTTGTATAATAGTTGTGTTTGGCCTACAGTTTGAAGTGTTTTGGCGACTGGCTTCTGGCGAGTAACCTTTTGATAACTTTTGTAAGTGTTTCCTGAATCAAAATTTCATGGGTATACTTTCTTTTGCCCAGGTTGTGTCGTTGCTTAGATTGTTAACCTGATAAAGTGTAGCAGATTTGAGAATCCTTGTCCGGGTCTTCAGCTCGGATCGGTCCAAGTTGAGTGTTGTTAACGTTCTCCGGCACAGAAAAATGCTTCTGTCTTGTGTCGGACTGATTGAACTTCGGAGGATTATCGTTGATGTCCTTCAGTTTAATTGTGTACTGTTTTGAGATGGTCGACAGACTGGGGGAACCCAGGTCATAGGCCAACACCTTCAACTGAAACACCACGGAGGATAATGATAATGTTGTTACTGGTACATGTAATGCTACTACTACTACTACTTTTACTGATAGCAGGCGCGTAGCAAGCCAAATTGTTCGTGTAAGCCCGATAGGTTGCAAAGCTTTATATTTAGATAGTATTGAGGGCTTGCCCAACCTCTTTAGCAACAATCATGTGTAAGCCCGGGCTTTTTTATATAATGGTAGCTACTACCCCTGAATAGTACTGCTACTTTACTACTACCAGTACATTTACTAAGAGTACCGCTACTTTTACTGCTTCTCAAACTTTTACTAACAGTACTGCTACTTTACTACAACTTTTACTAACAGTACGGCTACTTTACTACTACTTTTTACTAACAGTACTGCTACTTTACTACTACTTTTACTAATAGTACTGCTACTTTACTACCACTTTTACTAACAGTACTGCTACTTTACTACTACTTTTACTAAGAGTACTGCTACTTTACTAACTACTTTTACTAATAGTACTGCTACTTTACTACTACTTTTACTAACAGTACTGCTACTTTACTAATAGTACTGCTTTTACTAACAGTACTGCTACTTTACTACTTCACGATAATGGGTACTAAAACCACTTCACTAATAAGGTACTGCCACTTTTACTACTACTAGTACTTTTACTAACAGTACTGCTACTCATACTACTACTTTTACTGAATAATAGTACTGCTTACTTTTACTACTACTACTTTACTAATAGTACTGCTACTACTCAATTACTACTTTTACTAATAGTACTGCTGCTACTTTACTACTACTTTTTACTAACAGTACTGCTACTTTACAACCACTTTTACTCAACAGTACTGCTACTTTACTACTACTTTTACTAAAGTACTGCTACTTTTACTACTTTACTTTTACTAATTACTGCTAATCTTTACTACCACTTCTTTACTAAATTTACTGCTACTTTTACTACTACTTTTACTAATAGTACTGCTACTTTACTACTACTACTTTACTAACAGTGCTGCTACACTTTTACTACTACTTTTACTAACAGTACTGCTACATTTTACTACTACTTTTACTAATACTACTGCTACTTTACTCACTACCATTTTTACTACCAGTTCTACTACTTTACTACTACTTTTACTAAGAGTACTGCTACTTTTACTCACTACTTTACTTTTAACTAAACTTTACTCACTACTTTACCTCTACTACTAGTACTGCTACTTTACTACTTACCACTTTTACTAACAGTACTGCTACTTTACTACTACTTACTACTAACAGTACTACTAATTTTACTAACCACTTTTACTAAGATGTACTGCTACTTTACTACTACTTTTACTCTCTAGTAGCACTGCTACTTTACTACCACTTTTACTAATCAATAGCTTGCTAATTTACTTCACTTTTTACTAACAGTACTACTAATTTACAACAACTTTCACTAATAGTTTTTTTACTTCATTACTACTAGTCCGTTTACTAATAGTACTCCTACTTTACTACTACTTTTACTTATAGTACTGCTACTTTACTACTACTTTTACTAACAGTACTGCTACTTTACTACTAGTCCGTTTACTAATAGTACTGCTTCTTTACTACTACTTTTACTAATAGTACTGCTACTTTACTACTACTTTTACTAAGAGTACTGCTAATTTATTAACCACTTTTACTAATTAAGTAATTGCTACTTTACTACTACTTTTACTTAACAGTACTGCTACTTTTACTAATAGTACCGCTACTTTATTTATAACTACTTTTACTAAGAGTACTCACGATATGGCTGAAATATTATGATGTGACGCTAAATAGCACACTCACTCAATTCAACTAAGAGTACTGCTACTCTTTACTACTACTAGTACGTTTACCAACAGTACATACACTATACTACTACTTTTACTAATAGTACTCGCTACTTTTTACTACTACTTTTACTAATAGTACCGCTACTTTACTACTACTTTACTAACTAACTAGCACTGCTTTACTACTACTACTTTACTAATCATCTTTACTTTACTACTACTTTTACTAACTACTGCTAACTTCTTATAAACCACTTTTACTAAGAGTACTGCTACTTCACTACTACTTTTACTAATAGTACTGCTACTTTTACTTTACTAGTACTTTTACTCAAGAGTACTGCTACTTTTACTCACTACTACCACTTTACTAACAGTACCACTATTAATTTACAAATACTTTCTTACTAAGTCTACTGCTACTTTTTTACTACTACTTTTACTTAGAGTAATTGCTACTTTACTACTCACTTTTAACTAACAGTACTGCTACTTTACTACTACTAATTACAGTTCATATTAATAGCACTGCTACTCTTTACTACTACTTTTAACTAGCACTTTACTAATTGTTACTCTACTACCACATCACTAGCACGTTTACTAAGAGTACTGCTACTTTACTACTACTACTACTATTAGTACTTACTACTCTTACTCACTACTTTTACTAATAGTACTGCTACTTTACTACTACTTTTACTAAGAGTACTGCTACTCTACTACTACCAGTACGTTTACTAAGAGCACTGCTACTTTACTACTACTTCTACTAATAGTACTGCTACTTTACTACTACTTTTACTAATAGTACTGCTACTTTACTACTACTTTTACTAACAGTACTGCTACTTTACTACTCACAAGTCCTAGTAGTTTTTACTAATAATAATTGCTTCTTTACTACTACTTTTACTAATAGTACTGCTACTTTTACTACTACTTATACTAAGAGTACTGCTACTTTACTACTACTCACCAGCTCGTTTAAGAGTAACTGCTACTTTACTCACTACTTTTACTAATAGCAACTTTACTTTACTACTACTTTTACTAAGAGTACTAATTAGCACTTTACTCATACTACTACTTTCACTAGCAATAGTACCTGACTACCTACCACTACTACCTAGTACTTTTACTAAGAGCACTGCCACTTACTTCAAGCCACTACTCTTCACTAATATAATTACTGCATACTTACTAGAGCACTGCCACTACTAGCACTTAGTAATTACCTCTGTTACTTAAGTACTTCATTTCTTACTAAGAGTACTGGCTACTCTAATTACTCTACCAGTACGTTTACTAAGAGCACCACCACTTGCTACTTACTACGCCACCTATACTCCTTTACTAATAGTACTGCTACCTTTACTACTACTTTTACTAATAGCACTTTTACTTTCACTATCACTTTTTACTTAACAGCACTGGCTACAATGTAACTACTACTTTTACTAATAAATACCAGTTACTGCACTACCATTTCTTCTACTAATAGTACCGCCACTTCTACTACCAAGCACTTTTACTAAGAGCACCTGCTACTTACTACTCACTACTTTTACTCATAGTACTGCTACTGCACTACCACCAGCATGTTCACTAAGAATATCGTTACCTCCCTCCAGCTTCTAGAACTTTTTACTCAACAGCAGTAACTGCTACTTTACTACTAATTTTTACTAATAGCACCTACTTTACTACCACTTTTAGCAAAGTACTGCTACTTTATTACTACTCACTCAATTAGTACTTTTACTAAGATTAACTGCTACTTTTACTCACTACTAGCTACTACTTCAGCTAATTTACTACTACTTTTACTACTACTTCTACTTTAATAGTACTCTTTTACACCACTACTTCACTGCTATTACTACTTCTTTACTAAGAGTACTGCTACATTTTACTACTACTTTAACTAACAGTAACTGCTACTTTACTATTTGTACTTTTACTAAGTCTAACTGCTACTTTTACTACTACTTTCTTTTACTAAGTAATTGCTACTTTTACTCACTACTTTTACTAACAGTACTGCTACTTTTATCACTAAGACTAGTCCGCCACTTAATTTCACAACTACTTTTTTACTTAAGAGTACTACTACTTGTACTTTTACTCAATAGTAATTGCTACTTTACTCTCACTACTTTACTAACAGTACTGCATTACTTTACTCACTACTTTTAGCAATAGTACTCACTAATACCACTACTTTACCTAGCACGTTTACTACTACTAACTGCTACTTTTACTCACTACTTTTACTAATAGTAATTGCTACTTTACTCACTACTTTTACTAATAGTACTGCTACTTTACTCACTACTTTTACTTAACAGCACTCTACTACCAAGATTACCACTACGTTTACTCTGCTTCACTACTTTTAATTAGCTACTTTTACTACTACTTTTACTAAGAGTACTGCTACTTTACTACTACTTTTACTAATAATACTTTTACTGAAGCTACTTTACTACTACTACTTTTACTCAACAGTACTGCTACTTTACTATTACTAGTACTGTTTACTAATAGTACTGCTACTTTACTACTACTTTTACTAATAGTACTGCTACTTTACTACTACTTTTACTAAGAGTACTGCTACTTTACAACTACTTTTACTAAGTGTACTGCTACTTTACTACTACCAGTATTTTTACTAAGAGTACTGCTACTTTACTACTACTTTTACTAAGAGTACTGCTACTTTACTACTACTACTTTTACTAAGAGTACTGCTACTTTACTACTACTTTTAGCAATAGTAACTGCTACTTTACTACTACCAGCACTAGTTTACTAAGAGTCACTGCCACTTTTACTACTACTTTTACTAATAGGCACTGCTACTTTTACTACTACTTTTACTCAATAGTTTGCTACTTTACTCAATTACTTTTACTAAGAGTACTGCTACTTTACTACCACTAATTTTACTAAGATCACCACCACTACTACTCCGTTTACTACTACTTACCAGTTACGTTTACTACCAAGAGCACTGCTACTTTACTCACTACTTTCACTAATAGCACTGCTACTACTCACTAGCACTACTTTTACTCAATAGTACTGCTACTCCACTTTCATTACCACTTTTTACTAACAGTACTTACTCACTGTAATTTTACTCACAGTAACTGCTACTCTTTAACCACTACT